GGAAACCTGTTTCATCTCCATTGATAGTTTTGACATGGGATATTAATTACCAGCCTAATGATACTCTGTTAGCAGTGCTCGGCAATATTTGTTATAACAAAGGTGATTATTCAGAACAAGGCTCGGGAGTGTAAACTGCATGCATAATTTCTGCATGTTATCTGATTAGATACATTTGAATTGGGAATATTTTACTTGGATTGAAATACTGTGCTAGGTAAATTGATTTTTATTGTTATTATACTGATTGTATAGGAGATGGTTTTGATGATGGAATAACAAATAAGAGTTAGGTATTGAATATCAGTGATTCAGTATAAAACAATACAATGGATGTTAAAGAATAATGTTTCCGTTTGAATTTGAAATTACTACATGGATTAATATTTAATGGAATTTTAATACTATAACATTGACAGTTATTTCAGTTTAATACCGGTTAACAATGCATTAAACTGGTCCTAATGGAATTAGGAACTTCAGTGATGTCTGAGACATATGAAGTCATAATTAAAGCAATGTGTCTGATTAATTGAGTGTAAGTCAAATTTGATTTGTTGATTGTGATTTCAAATGGTTAAATGAAAAAAGAAATTATTCTATTGTATTTTTTTAAAGCCACCAGAATAGGTGGGGTTTTCTATCTTTGTGTTTTAATGAGCTAACAGTTTGTACAGTATATACATGTAGTGACACTTTTTATTCACCTAAAAGGGTTAATGGAGAAAAAAAAGAAAAAAGAGGAAAATAAAATTGTTTTGGAGAACCAAAATCTACATGCCAGTAGTATTCATTGACATGAAATGCAAGGGACTTTAACAAGGCTTTAATTTATTTAAATTGACTTCTAAGATGTACATGTAACAATTATTGGTAAAATTCTCCCTGTCTGTTTACTTAGAAGATGCTTGTTTGATTATTTTCTTCTGGAAGTATAGACATACAGTCTGGTTACCTTAGAATGGCACAAGATGTTGTTGTATAAACATAGAATATCCCAATAAAATGATGTGGACTCTTTGAAGGCCATGTGTTTTTTTCCTAAGAATTTTTTTTTCTTTTTTTTTTCCAAAGTAAAATACCATATTTCTTGGAGACTTCCACTAGCTTGCAGTATTTATATTTATACCACTTCAGAGTAACTGTACTGTAAAATATACATGTTTGAAAAACCAGTCTTCATGTATTTATTTTAGTTTCTAGGGGGAATATTGGAATTAATTATCCAGAACAGTTTCCCTATTAATGGAACAGATGTTTACATGTATAAAATATTAATGGAATACAGTGAAACAGTTTGTGATATGTGTGCTTGGTATTTGGTGGTAATTTGCAGCCACAGGCAGTTGGTAAAAGATTTGTAAATACATGTATATTATATTGAACAAAGTATTCTGTCACCTTAGAGCGATACTGGTGTAAAAGTATATGAATAAAAAATGAGATAAAATAGGTCAACACTGAAAATCAGAACTTTTTGAAACGTGGAACTGTGTGTCATTATTTTGAGGAATATTAATAAATTTGTTTCAAAGTGTTTGTTTGGATTTAACAGTGATTCTCCAAGTTTCTGTGCAAAAAGGCTAAAGTATAATTATAGTAGATTTTAATAAGAACGCTATAAAAATGAAAAGGAAATGAAAAAAAGGATGCTTACAGAAAAGAATTGGTAACACCACATTGATGATTTTACAAGGGTTTAGGCTGTAACCTGGCGACATTATTAATGCAATTACGACTTTGTTGCCACAATATTATACATTCAAGATTGAGTAAAAATTTTGTTGAAAAATGTTTATACAGTTCGCTCAGCGCAGATTTTGTACAATCAGGCAACACTGCGGACTTAGACTCACCGCAGACAAAAATTTGCTCAGTTTTGTTTTCATGACCCGTGCAGACTAAAAATTTTACCATCATAGACATAAAGACAGCCATATAGTATTTGTTAGGAACAGGACTTTTGATTTACATAATGTTAGGGAAACCTGCATTTTGACTTTGTTTATGAAAAAGAGCAGCCCAATTATTGGTTATTTATCCCTGAAGAAGAAAAGATTTTAGTTTGTTAATTTAAATGTCTCTTTAAGCAAAATGTCTTGTTTGTCTTTAAGTATAGTAAGTTGTAAACAACAAGGGCAGGAAAATTTACATGTATGTGCTGATGTAGAAAATATACACATTAATACAATTATATTGGAATCAAAGAAATAGTGAATTAAGTTTAAATAACAGCATAATATTGAAATTTGTTATTTTACAGACTTCTTATTTCATGTATTTACCAGTAAATATTTCATATTTATAGTTTTAAAAAAAACTTAGCCTAACAGATTTGTTCTTCAATGTTTTTGTTTTTTTAAATAATGTTATAAAAACTATGAAACTTAAAGTATTGATTTATTTGAAAGAAGAAAAAGGAAAGAGAAAAAGAAAAAAATGGTAATGTTTGCTAAAACTACATTAATTTCCCTACAGAATTCAGTGATCCTGCAGTAATTTTGAAAGATTTCAGTCTGGCTATTTAGAGTTGTGAATGTTGTTTCAGGTCAAAGTTTGGAATCTGTTGAGTAGATACCAAAGATTCTTTTGCCCAATAATCAATGCCAAAGTCTAAATGGCCCATCTTTCAGTCTGAGATATTGTTAGATATTTTCTCTTATTTCTGAGTAAGAAAAAGAGTCATTACAAAATGGTAAAACAGTGTTGAAAATGTGATTTAGCTGTTTGATAGCCTATACTGATCTATGTACAGTGTAAAATATAATTATGTGCAATGAAAATTATTCAGTTTTATAGAAATAATCTTATCTGACGTAGCAGTCTGTTAGTTTTTTAGCTCACCTGTTACAAAGTGAGCTTTTGTGATCGCAATTCCGTCAGTCGTCTGTCCGTCCTTAAAGTTTTACTTTAAAGAACATCTCCTCATAAACCTTTTAGACAATTTCTTCAAAACTTAATATGAATGTTCCTATGGAAGGTCACCTTTGAAAATTGTTCAAAGAATGTAATTCCATGCAGAACTCTGGTTGCCATGGCAACCGAAAGAAAAAACTTAAAAAATCTTCTTTTTAAAAACCCTGAGAGTAAGAGCTTAGATATTTGGTATATAACATCGTCTGGTTTTGGATTTTTAGCTCGACTTTTCTATGAAAAGGGGAGCTATCCTACTCGCCCCGGCGTCGGCGTCGGCGTTGGCGTCACACCTTGGTTAAGTTTTTCGTACCACCCCACTTTATTTCAGAAGTATTACAAGTATGGCTTTGAAACTTACCATACTTGTTCACCATCATAACCTCCATCTACAGACAAGAGTACATAACTCTGTCAAGGTTTTTGACAGAATTATGGCCCTTTTTTGACTTAGAAAGTGTATTGAGCTTGGTTAAGTTTTTTGTACCACCTCACTTTATTTCAAAACCATTGGAGGTATTGCTTTGAAACTGACCATACTTGTTTACCATCACGACCTCATCAACAGACAAGAGGACATAACTCTGTCAAGGTTTTTGACAGAATTATGCCCCTTTTTGACTTAGAAAATACATTGAATATGGGTAAAATCCACTTATTGCCTTAACCCTTTGAGATATTGCTTTGAAACTTTTAATGCTATTTCACATCATTACCCCCATCTGTACGCAAGAGAAGGTAACTCTGTCAAGGATTTGTTTTAAAAATTAAGGCCTTTTATCGACTTAGAATCTTGGTTAAGTTTTTAGTACCAGTCCACTTTTTGACTGAACTGTTTGAGATATTAATTTGAAAGTTGGAATACTTGTTTACAATCATGATTCCCAAACATGTCCAGGAGAAGGTAATTCTGTCAAAGATTTTATTTGAATTATGGCCCTTAACTGTCAATGTTTTGTATTATAGGCAAGCACTAAAAAACTTAAAAAATCTAAAAAAATTCATTCCTATCCACTTGTTCACTTTACCATAAATTATGTCATATAAACATTGCTGTAATATTCAAGGGTATCAAACAACTAGTTCACTTTAAAAATACAGAGATTCTTGTATTGCCTTTTACTGCAAAAACTTTTTTTATTGGCAAGCAATAAAAAAGTCGAGCGCGCTGTCTTACGGACAGCTCTTGTTCTTTTTCAAATTTATCTTAAATAAGCGCGCTATGTAAATTTAATATAAATGAAAATTTATAAAAATATCTTACATGGACTAGTCCAATTTTCAATCTGGACAATACCATTCATCAGTTTTTAGAGGGGGGATTAAGAATATGTAAGATAGCTAACAGTGCAGACCATGATCAGACGGGACAGATGTGCTGGCTCAGATCTTGGTCTGCATTAAGTATAACGGTAGATAATAATTTGCCACCAACACATTAAATGTTCAAATATTAAGTATGTATCAAATGTAAGTGCATAAAAAAGGTCACAACAATTATTATAACTAGGTGCATAAAAAAGGCCACAATTTTTTTTTTTTTATAGCTTTAGGGTAAACTATAATAATGCTTATTTACCATATTCTACCTGTATAAGGCCCCATTCACAAAGACAAAAAACAATTTTTTTTCCCCCACATTTGCTTAACGAAAAGGCACGATTGCCAAATTAAAGTCATTGACAGAAATTGTCAATTATAAACTTGAAAACATAAGAAAGAGAGACATTTTATGGTTAAACAATGAGACTTTAATTAATAAGGTTTTTATCCTGAATTAAGGCATTTTCTAACAAATGATTAAAACTTTTTGCACCATTTAGTAGTTACATTTAACAGTATGAAATAAAACTAAAAATAATATTCACAAATGTATTACATTAAGATGCTAATTATTTTCACATCTAAAAGTGTCCCTGTCAGACCAATCTCAGAGGACAATTTAAGTAAGACTTACATTATAAGGTTCTGTGATGAGTTCCTATGATTTTTATATGGTTCTTTGAAAGGCCCAGCTTTCTTTGATGATTTTATGTATGAGGTGTTCATAATATACACTTCTTCTCATCTTTCTATTCTATTTTCAGGAATAGGTTCATTTAAATGCAAGCATGATCTCTTGACCTTTGCTGAAGGATGGCATTGCTGAACATTATTGTGACCTTGACCTTATTGTGTGTAACCATAGAAACCAAAGAGGAACTGAATCTAGATGATGTGTCAGCCATAGTTGGAGAGAAATTTGATTACCAGATTGGGGATGAAGCCTTTCAGTCAACATATAAAATTTACAGGGTGAGTTTGATACATCGATTTGTTTGTTTGTTTGTTTTGTTTTCGGTTTTACGTCAGATCAACACAGTATAGGTCATATCGCGACGTTCCAGCTTTATTGATGGAGGATGACCTCAGGTGCCCTTCTGTGCATTATACGTCGATTTGTTACATAATGTATTATGTGATAACTTTTTATTTGTTTGATAAGGTCTTACGTCACACTGACACAGTATAGGTCATATGGCGACATTTCCAGCTTTACTGGTGCAGGAAGACCTCAGGTGCCCTTTCGTGCATTATTTAATAATAATAATAATATTAATAAAGACTTTATTTAAAGAGGCAACATAGTTAGGCAAGCCCAGTCTTCCCTATGAGCCTCTTATTTCAGGCATGAACAGGCACCTTATTAGAACCACCGACTATGTGATAACTGAATACTGTAGAACTTGTGTTATACGAGTAAGATTAATTGTTGCTAATACTTGCAAATTACTTCCTTAGAAAATTTATAGTTATCATGAATAAAATATATGTGCCTAATAAGCAATATCATATTTTATTCAGCAACACTTTCGACTTTTATTATGATGATGATGCATATTCACAAATGTGCATTCATGAATATGAAGAAAAGAAAAAATGCAAAATGTTGAAGATGCAAGTTTAAAGTATTGTAAGAACAGTCATCTTTTCTATAAAAATGTAATTACCAAACTGACAAGTAATATTAATCATTGTTAAGATGGTAAGATTTTTCCTCCAGAATGATATTTCCTGTTTACCTCCATTTTAGATGGTACAGAGAGGTCAAAGGAAACTTCCTAACTGGTTGACCTTTGACACAAATTCGAGTATGCTGATTGGCTATCCAAAGACAGAAGATGTGGGCATGTACACATTGAGAATGAGAGCCCAGTGTATAGACCCAACAGTTTCAAAATGTCAGGACAAACTCTCCCGAACATTTCACATTAATGTTATGGAGCCCTTGATATCGGCGGAATCTAGGGGTAGAAAAACTTTTTCTAAGCATGGAAAGAAAGAAAAGTGGAGATTTACTAACATGCATAATGGTAACGCAGGGTTGTATGTGGAGTATGATATATCCAGGCATGGTACAGTAGTAGAAAATAAGTCTGGTATGCTAGATTCAGGTTCAGAGCATGTGTTGTCTTATGGTGCCTTGTAGCCAGCTATGCAGTTTGACAGTGTTGCCAAGTATTTTCCTAACAAAAATATGCATGACAAGCTTTCTAGCAACTCATATCTAGCTATGCAATATACTTCAGCTTCAATTAACATTTTGCCTATGAGTGATGTACACCAACAATTTTCTAGCATTGCAGCAAATTATCCATCTAATTTTATTAACAATGCACATATTTATAAGAGTGATATTCTCTTTATGCCTTCCAGATATTCATTTTCATCTATGCAGTATAACTCCAGAGTTGACAGGGTTCAGTACAGTGATAGACCTTTGCAGCACTTAATGCCATATTATTCTAGAAGTGACAATGTTCATAACAGTGATGAACTTCCATTGCTCAAAACTGAAATATTTTCATCTATGCAGTTAAGTATAAGTCCTCACAGGGATTTGCGTGTGATAGTCCCCAGCAACAAAGGTGCTGTTAATACACCAACTTTCTTCTCAGACAAGGGTTTTCAAAGCCAGATTGTTACAAAGACTTCAGAAGAATTGTTGTTCACAGAGCATGGTGCTGTAGCAAGTAAAAGCTATGATAAAGAAAAAGCAGAAAACATTATTGACTTAGATACCACTTTAAACAATATTTTCCTTCCCAAATCTAACAAAAACACTGACACTGAGAGCCCTGGATATGGAATACCAAATATATGTTTAGGTGATCAAACAGTTTTTTATGCCAGCTTGATTTTATATATGATTGATAGCCTTACATCTGCTCAAGAAGACATTCTTAAAAACAAGTGGGCAAATTTTATTTCTAAAGATCATAATATGATTTTCATTGATAAGGAGGAATCCGATGTTCAGGGTTTGAGATATAATGGAAAGTATATTTTGACAGCTGGGCCAGGAAATGCAATCGAGTCTTTGTCTAAAAGTTTAGAATTGTCATGGCATCTAGCATGTGAGAAGTTTGATCAAGTAGAAGATTTCACCCAAGTTATGCAGCATAACATTGAAGTTGGAAGAGTCACTAAGGAGATTGGCTTTGATGTGATTGCCTGGTATGTTTATACAGATAGACCTTTGCCGAAACGTGTCCGACGTCAAGCTCATTCAAGACACAGACGAACTGCAACACCAACATATTCACCACCAGTGCCAACAACGTTATCTGAAATGTTGTCAACTGAAACTGATATGTCATTATTATCTTCTTCATTCTTTTTCTCTACAGAGGTTTTAATCCCATTTATAACTTCCTCTTCATCATTAGCATCTTTGCCAACTTCACTATTTTCAGTAATACCACTGAGCACACAACCTGATTCTTTTTTCTCCATCAGTTTGAGCTCAAGTGTTACTAGTGATTTTTTTGAATTTTCAGATAGTTTTACTTCATTGTTTACAACAAATACTGAATTATCATCATCACCTTTATTTGTCAGCAAATCTTATTCTGTCTTATCTCCAACAATTTCTTATTCAGATGTTTCCTTATTGTCTTTTCCTACAACTGTGATTTTACCATCATCTTCAATTGCAATCTCTCAAACTTCATTTATTCCAACCACCACAAAGTTATCGGTTGTTTTCTCACTCACAAAAAAGAGCAGTAGCAATTCTGTGGTAGTTTGGCCTACACCAAGTTTGACATCTTTCTCCTTTTCTGATGCAATATTTTCATCAAGTAAGACAACTCTTCTTGATATCACTACTTCTGAATCATTTTACATTCCACCATCTCAAAGGTACTCTACATCTTTTACATCAAATATTTCTTTTATATCTTCATCAAGAATAGGATCATCTTATTCAGCAGTTATATCCTCTATGTCTCCTTTAGTCTCTTCTGGCATTCTCACTTCCTCCATTGAATCCAGAGTCTCTGAACAATCTATGACCTCATCAAAAGACATTGTATTTACAACATTGTCAGAAATATCAAGTTTCAGTTCTTCACAATCTGAACTTTTTCTCTCATCAGGACTGCCATTATCCACATCTTCATCTTCATATTTGCTTTCATCTCCTGTAAAGATTACAAGCATACCATTTGCAATTACTAGTTCATCACCGTCAATTAGTTTTATAGGTACTTTTGAATCATCAATGTCATTAACATCATTATTACTTTCAACATCATTTGTTTCTACATTTAGTACAGTTGTTGCAAATTCATCTGACTTTTCATCTGACTTTTTGTCTATGGAATCAGTTTCATTACCTTCAAGTTATTTGGAGACATCAACTTTTCAAACATCATTTATGTCAACTTCATCAGGTTACCTAGCACTCAACTCAACATCAGATTTTATAATTGATTCAGTTACATCAAGGTTTTATTCACAGTCTACAGAAAAGACATCTCTGAAGTCTTCACAGACATTGACACCATCATTTACACCATCTTCAGAATATACGACCATCTCTGCACCATCAGTGGTGTCATCAACATTAACTTCTTCTGATTTTATTTCAAATTCAAGTTCAGTAAATACTTTACCAATTGAAAAAACTACTTTGACTCCTTCATTATCAACAGCATCATCATTAGTGTCTTCTTACCACAGCGATATCTTTTCATCAACATTTTCTTCAGTCACATCATTGGAAACTTTTACTACAACTAATGCATCTGATATTTTAAGTTCAGTACTCAGTTCACCAATGGTTTCTACAACTGGCATTCTATCAGTCACTATCTCTTCTTTTTTGACTATTGACACAATATCACCTTCTGCATCAAGTTCAGACTCATTACCTGTTGTGACGCCAAGTTTTCCAGAAGTTACTTCTAGATTTTCAGCAACGTATTCGACATCCGAAGCATTAACAACTTCATTTCAAATAACTACACCATCTACATCGTCAGAAGCTTCAGTGATGTCAACAGTTGTTGCAGCTACAATTATTTCACCAACAAGAGTATCAGAGACATATTCATTAACATCTCTGTCAAGTACAAGAGTTGTATCTACTGGTAAACATTTAGATAGTATTGTTGCTTTTAGTTTTGTTCTAGATTCTCATCACTCTATTTTTTTGTCTTTTTTTCGTAATGTTTTTCTTACAGTTATGCAAATGCAATTATTCAAATTTATCATATTTTATTGTTCAAACCATATGTCTTTGTTTAATTTTCATAGTTTCTTTCTCAAAGGTTGAAAATCCAGGAGATGAAACTGACATCTTTTTTGAAATTAGAAAGGCTGTTTGTGGCAGTTTATTTAGATTTGAGTAATATTAGCAATGTTGACTTGACTAAGGTTTAAATTTGTTTCCCCTTTATTATTTTGTCTTAGTCCCAAGCATATAGATCCATGCCATCCTGCAAAATTATTGAAGTCTAACGTACTGGATGCTGAATTTTGAAACCCCTCAAAAGTTAATTAATTTTTGTCTATTCTTAATTTATAAGAAAGGTAGTGGCAATGTACTAATTTTGTTGAATAATGTATGAAAGAAAACAAAATGCTTGACAGAAAAAATACTTGTGAATGAATAAACGAAACCAAATCTCATAAACATTTAACATATATCTAATTTTAATATTGTAGAAGCTCATTTAAATATTATATTTGATGGTATATTTGAGTAGACATGATGTGACTTCGTATAAATTATGTATTCTATATTTATTATGCATTCTTGGTATTTGATATTTTCTATGTGCTTATTAATCGTGTATTTTGCATGAGATTTCCATTCTGCATGACTTAAAGACTTTCATAAAATAACATTTAATGACAGTTTTCTGATATCTTGTTACTAATATATTTTATGTACATGTATTTATTAGCAGAACTAAGCTTTACTCCAGTATAATTATGTTGTCATATGAATTTTCCTGCATTGCCTGAGTGATCTTGAGAATTCAGTTATTCACCTTTTTTTTAACTTTGTATTGCTTTGCTTTGTTTGTGATGTGTTAATGCTCATTTTTATGTGCTTGATACTTGCACCATTTAGAATAAATCACAGTTTTTAACTAATTCAATAAAGACTATTAATGAAGGAAAACCTACAGAACTGATGTTTCTAATTCAGTTAAGCATTATTACTAAATTTTTTCTTGCAAAAATAAAAATGAAATTTGATTTTTCTGGTTTAAATTATTCAACCTATAACCTACTGAGTATGTTTAAATAATCAGTTATGCTCTTAATTTTGAACAGTTAAGGTTTCAATATCAAAACATTAAAATTGAGCTGTAAACAGGACAAAAGCTTGTCATACCCCATAGAGCATCATTATTCTGGCTCTATACTGGCTGGCTGTATTGGCGGCAAAGTCTAATCACTTGGTTCCAGCATATCAAATGTTATGTTTATGGTTCTCATTCAAAATTAAGTGGTGGCATGGCTTAGTGGTTAACACATCAGACTAGTAATCTAATGACCGCTAACCGCATGGGTTTAAACCCTATCAGAGGCAAACTGTTGTGTCCTTGAGCAAAAAACTTTACAATCATTGCTTAGTACTGGTTGGTTCCAGGAATGGATTTAAAGCGTGTCTATAAGCTTATAGCTTCATACACAATCGAACTAGAAAAAAAAATCTGTATAAACCAAATCCTTTTTCATCTCTTCTTTTGGTTTTTGTTGCTATTTACTTTCTTAAATTGATTTGAATAATTATGATGATTTATAAATGATTTTGTATGGAAATTATAATGTAAATTATTAGCTCGACTTTTCTATGAAAAGGGGAGCTATCCTACTCGCCCCGGCGTCGGCGTCGGCGTTAGCGTTAGCGTTGGCGTCACACCTTGGTTAAGTTTTTCGTACCACCCCACTTTATTTCAGAAGTATTACAAGTATGGCTTTGAAACTTACCATACTTGTTCACCATCATAACCTCCATCTACAGACAAGAGTACATAACTCTGTCAAGGTTTTTTGACAGAATTATGGCCCTTTTTTGACTTAGAAAGTGTATTGAGCTTGGTTAAGTTTTTTTGTACCACCTCACTTTATTTCAAAACCATTGGAGGTATTGCTTTGAAACTGACCATACTTGTTTACCATCACGACCTTCATCAACAGACAAGAGGACATAACTCTGTCAAGGTTTTTGACAGAATTATGCCCCTTTTTGACTTAGAAAATACATTGAATATGGGTAAAATCCACTTATTGCCTTAACCCTTTGAGATATTGCTTTGAAACTTTTAATGCTATTTCACATCATTACCCCCATCTGTACGCAAGAGAAGGTAACTCTGTCAAGGATTTGTTTTAAAAATTAAGGCCTTTTATCGACTTAGAATCTTGGTTAAGTTTTTTGTACCACCTCACTTTATTTCAAAACCATTGGAGGTATTGCTTTGAAACTGACCATACTTGTTTACCATCACGACCTTCATCAACAGACAAGAGGACATAACTCTGTCAAGGTTTTTGACAGAATTATGCCCCTTTTTGACTTAGAAAATACATTGAATATGGGTAAAATCCACTTATTGCCTTAACCCTTTGAGATATTGCTTTGAAACTTTTAATGCTATTTCACATCATTACCCCCATCTGTACGCAAGAGAAGGTAACTCTGTCAAGGATTTGTTTTAAAAATTAAGGCCTTTTATCGACTTAGAATCTTGGTTAAGTTTTTAGTACCAGTCCACTTTTTGACTGAACTGTTTGAGATATTAATTTGAAAGTTGGAATACTTGTTTACAATCATGATTCCCAAACATGTCCAGGAGAAGGTAATTCTGTCAAAGATTTTATTTGAATTATGGCCCTTAACTGTCAATGTTTTGTATTATAGGCAAGCACTAAAAAAGTCGAGCGCGCTGTCTTACGGACAGCTCTTGTTTTTATATAAGCTGTATCATTTCCATATAAAATATTGTATTTCTAGATATTTTATTTTCATAAGAAAAGCATGAATATTGTTACTATATAATATATTTCAACTAGTCTATATAAAGAGTAAGAATTTGAAAGCACATTGACTTAGTTTTAATTCTATTTTTTCAGCTGCACCTGACCAGTCCCCAAAATTGGTGAAATCCATAGACCATCTTAATGTAGTGGTTGGTCGATACTTTGAATACCAGATCCCGGAAGATACTTTCTCCGACAAAGAGGACGGTAACACGAGAAATCTAACTTTGCGGCTCAGTCTGACTTACAGTAAACCGTTTCCCAAAGGTTCTTGGCTTATGTTCAACGAAAGTACGCAAACGTTTTATGGAATTCCTCTACGAAATGATTCAGAAGGAGGTAAAAGGATCAGTGAGTTTACTCTTATCGCGAAAGATTCAAAAGGTCAGGTTGCCAAAGATGCGATAACATTGACATACGAGTACGAAAAAAATGTGAATCATAAAATAAGTGTAATGTTGAATGGCAGTTATGAAAAATTTACTGATGACAGGAATAACTTGATTCAGGTAGCTAGAAAACTAGCAGACTTCTATGAAGATGACGAGTTGAACTTTTTGTCTTTTTCTAGTGTGGAGAAAGGGTCTGTGTTGATTGTTTGGAGTAATAATTCCTTGATAGGGACCTCTTGTCAGAAAGAAGAGATTCAAAATCTCTATGATAGACTCACTGATGAGAATGGAACAATATCAGACCAATTTTTAGCATTATTTACGGACTACATACCAATGAATACAAGTCTGGAATTTTTGGGGGCGTGTCTTTTACCAATTTCATCCATAGCTCCGCCCACCCAATCTCCTGTTGCTGAAACTGATAACAGAATGTGGATAGAAATTGTTCTTCCTGCTTTAATTGCCATATTAGTTATAGTTATTATAGCTTTATTACTTTTAATCTGTTGTCGACACAGACGACCAAGCAAAGAAATCAAAGATTCAGATAAACCCGCCTTCCTTGAAGATCGACGCCCAATTATCTTCCCAGATGAACTGGAAATGGTTGATCCCTCATTAAAACCAAAAACACCTCTTGTGCTTCCATCAGACTATTTAACAGAGACTCCGCCTGCTGTTCCACCTCATGGACGGCAAGCCCCGCCCTATCGTGCAGCAATGTTAGATGATGATATGTTTTCAGGGGAGGACGATGATCAGCCCCCTCCACCTTCATATAGAGGAGATTCACAGAACACTGAACCACCACCATACCGTCTACCTCCACCATACTTTAATCCACATAGAATGGCATAGGTTATTTCATAGTTAAGGACACTAATATAGTATACACTGATTTACTGTTAACCATTATATTTGTATAATGTATGAAGTGCATGGCTCTCATTTAAAAAATACAGAAAAATTTCAATGTAAGAAAAAATCATTAAAATATGATGTTAAATATTGAGATACATTTTTGTTAATTGCAAACGATTCATGAAAACAAATTCTGAAGATATATAAATGAATGAAAATACCTAATGTATATTTCTTTAGGATACATATAGTATTTTTCCATCATATTCAGTATTTTGAATGTATAGAACTACACCTATTTATTAATCATAATTAATTTCATTTTACAAAGTCAGCCATCATCCTTTGTCCGCCATTGAAACAAAATTATCACTGCACATGATTTACATTTGTATTAAATGCATTAATTATAGAATCAAGTAAAACATGAATAGAAGTATTATTTTTGTACCCACTGTTAGATTTGTATCAATTATTTCATTTTTATAGGAAAAAAACTAACTTTTATATAAATTATAGAAAATTTATGGACAACTAGTTTTATATGAGCTGTAAAATTATTTTAGAGCAAAAAGAAATTCACAATTTTCTTTTATAAAAAAATAGAAAAAATATGAGTTTATAGAATATGTTACTTTTGTATTTTCTACTTTGTTTCTCGTAGACAATCACTTTAGTATAGATTTTGTAGATAATGTTTCCACTGCATTTGTCACATGATTATTGAGATAAATTATCTCATGCATTATCTCATAAATAATCACATTTATTATCTCATTTAATTATCTCATGCATTATCTCAATGAATTATCTCTTGTATTATCTCGATAAATTATCTTGTGTATTATCTCATGCAGTATCTCATAAAATGGTTCTTAAATATTATTCATGAAAAACATGTATATACATTGCATTTTAAGTATAGAAAAATGTAGATATACTGTATTGACTTTCTAAGATTTAAAATGTTTTTGTTATAGCTACCCAATCAGAAAAGATCAGATAAAGTTTTAAAAATGCTTAGTTGAAAAATAAGTATTCCTAATATATTATGTATTTTGTATTCATTTTGAATAAAGATCATAAATTCTATTAATATACCAAGTTCAAAGGTCAAAGCTTTTTTTGAGATTAAAAACTTCTTAACTATTATTATACTTGCAATAGATATTCGCTTTAATTTATTGTTTAAATTAGTAAAATCATGTCACAGATTTTAAATTATTGATGAAAGGCCTTCTTCTAGAATACTATTGAAAAAATTACTTTAAAATTTCATCTTTATATTCCAAAAATTGATAATAGTCGGGACAGACCCAAAAATGGAAGCTGAGAAAGTCCATGTCAAAAAAATCAGCAAGTTACATGTTTTATAGTTTCATTATTTTGTTGTCTCTATTGTTAAAAGCTGCTTTTACTTGATCTACTGCTGTATTTGATTTTTTTATGTGATGCCATGCTTGTACTTATGTCAGGTTGCTTAATTTAATTAAAGGAATGTACGAAATTTTTCATGATTTCTGTAACATGTCCTTCAAAAGGAAGGAAATTTGATGTTTGGACTTAAGTGTTTTAACATTGAGTGGGAGTTGATGTGGGGGGAATGGGGTATAGTGGGTCAGGGATTATGGGATATTTGTGGTAAGAAATCTGGGCTAAGGAAATTCAGGGTTTGTTGTGTTGTGTTGTGGGATAGGTTGACAATTTCCATGTCTTTTATTTAGAGCTGCCGCAATTTTGTACAGTATAATTAATTACCTATGAGATTATTGAAGTATAATTGCGATTTGTGTTGAAAGGGGGATAAAAACTCAACTATTGGACATTTTACATAATACATGTACACAAATACTTGTGTACATGGCTGGTGCAAATGAAACAAATGTGCAATGTGAAATGTAATTTTTTTTCTTATTTTTTCCTACATTTCTACAAGCTTTTATGCCAAAAAAATGATTTTTTGTTTGCTTGATGTATTTTACATTTTTTGCCATTGTTAAAGGTGCTCACTTGTTATGATGAATATTACACTTTTTTGTTAGCTAGTTGTTTTTTGCTATTTTACAGTAATTTGTTATGACATGCATGAATGCGTTATTGACCTGATTTAATTGCCTTGCTTATGTATCAATCTATTTATTAAAATTTTGTAAGGAGATACTGTTGTATGGATCATATTGAGAAAAGGCAGAAATAATAAGAATCTGACAAAGTTTTGATGGTTTTTATTTGAAATCCCTTTTACTTTCTTAGTTTGAATTATGTCACTTTTATACCATGTGCCATTTGTAAATTTAAATTTATAGCACACACTTTGATGCAGTTTTTTGACAGGTTGACAGTATTCAATGTTTAGTCATTTTGCTTTAAAAATTATATATTAAGGACATTTTCGGGAGTTTTCATAGAGACATATAAGAAATATAAGCTCAATAAATACTTTTTTTATATCCCTGTGCAATTTTTGTATTTTGCTTATAGTCAGTATTATTTAATATGCTTTTGTTATTAATATGTTCTTGCTGATATCCACCAGTTTCCCAGTTTTGAATACCTTTTACATATTTTATGAGATTTAAACCTTTTGATGAAGATCACAAGAAAACAAATTACATTATAACTACATTGTATATCATTGATTATTTATAGACTATATAAAGACTTGTATATAAATGTATCTTTTCCAGCTGTATTATTATATTTGATTCTAACAAGGCACACATTTTTCGCAATTGAATGTAGAAGTGTGTGTTATTAGGCAATAAAATCACTGTTTCACATTCTATATTTAGACATGTAATGTAATCATTATACATGTGACGTTACTACTTAAAATGCGACGTGCTGAAAATAAGTACAGAAACATATCAGGCGCAATTCAGCTTAATATCAGGTACGACAGCATTTATTTGCTGATGTTTATATTTGAGAAGAGTCAAGTTATATAGGTCCTTGTGAGATATAAACCTACTGAAATTGTGTAACAGATTGGCGCTACTTTTGAATTTGGAACAGTCCATTTAAAGTTAAAGTGATTTCAGTGTTGAAATACCACAAAAAGAGCTTCCTCTATTGTGATCTCTTTGCCTTGATATTAAAGTGGTTGGCTCGGGGTTCAATTGTACTTACAACATAACATTTCAGACAGGACTGGAAATTAAAAGGAAAAGTGAAAGCTTCACTTCCTTGAAAAAAAAATGTTCAATTTACTTTCTTGATGCAAATTTTTTTCTTGCACTGAAGCTGCAAATTATCTGGCATACAGAATTTGTCTGTGAACTACAAGACATTGTATTCAAGAAAACATCCCCGCAGACCAAATTAATTTTGTATTGCACAAGAGAACGTCCCCTCAGAGCAAAATCAATATACTTACTGCGAAATAAGAATATTTTGGGTTTTCCCAGCTAATTCAGGGGTACAGCAACAGATTTTCTCTCTGAGGGGATGGAAGGTGGTCTTGACTTACAATTACAATGTACAGTCAACCCTGTGAGCAAAGTTCATCAAAAGAAAAGAGACCGAAAATAGCTTTAACAGACAGGTGGGTTTTATTTAGAGGTTACTTTGTTCTTTTTTATCATTGAAGGGATTTCAAAGAGCGGCCTTTATATACAGGGTGACCTTTATTCAGAGGTGATATTAAACACAGGTTTGACTGTATATATCTTAAGTTTGGTTTTATACATTTGATGAAGTCTATATCTTACATACAAGTACATGTATATTATTTTCAACATGATTAACATTGATTATATAATGATAGAAATGTATTTTTTATACGATATGTGCCATAAGGAAATCTTGTACTTAACAACTGAACTCCTACTTAATCTGCTGAATTTCTAGTCTCGGTATGCGTTTAATGGAGAGTCCTAATAAGTCTTCAATCGGTCCCAAGATAAAAATCTGTGTCCGTTCAATTTGCCTTCTACATTTGCTGAATGTATCCATTTTTGACAAACGAACATTGACATATTTTTCGACATGTATTTTGTAACTTTTTTTTCAGGAGAGCGAATTATTCACAAGTCCTAAGATTTAGGATAAACTTAACACTCTCCATGAAACGCAGCCCAGCTTACATATTGGAAGTCTGTGTTCAAATTGACAATTGCTGTAATTGGTCAGTCAACAGTTAAGACTATTCTAAACATGGTTTACATTATAACCAATTATCCCTTAGCCTGCTAGCAGCAACTGATTCTACCCATGTGACCAGTGCAAACCATGATTAGATGTGATTTCGGCACATCTGTGCCATCTAATCATGGTTTATATTGTAAGGTATTAAATTCAGTCAGTACATATTTTTAAATCTTTGTGCCATCAGGACAAATTAATCTGTGTCCTGCCTTATTTTCTGTCTGTACTTGTCAACTTACATTTTGAAGCAGTCAGTTTTAGCATTATTAGATAATGTCAAATTTGGAAGTTTTCAATAAACAGTATAAAGTATTGACAGACTGCTAAAAAAAGTCAGGCCGTTATCTTTCAGCGGAAGTATTTAGAATTAAGGTTTGAATATTCCTGTTTTAAGGCCGTGTAATAAATTTGTTAATATGAATAATAACATTTCATACTGTATAATGGTGTTTCAGTTTTTAATTATTCCTTTATATACATATAATGTATGTACATGTAATACTATTTGCTTTTGGGAAGATGTGTTATTTCTCCCCTTTATCAAAGACTGGTGATGCTTCTTTTTGGTCATGTGGACTACGACTTTTTTTTACAGTAAAGGGAAAAACAAAATGCCATAATGAAATAAAGTCTAAAAATATGGGTGATTGGAATGACATTATATTGTGTATGTGACAAAACATTAGGGATGTATCAAGTATATAAAGTAATTGCTTTAATGTTGTGCAATGATTTACTTGTCCTGCAACCATATACATATTCATTTGTACTAAAAAAGGAGCTAATACAAACTTTGAGTCAATCTATGAATCCATGGGTCATTTGTTCAAAAACTATGTTAAGATAATAACAAACGCATGTCTTAAAGAAATGATATAATTTATTTTGATAACAACATATCAAGAACAAAGCAAGAAATTATGTAATATACAGTGTATATCGGCAAAAAAAATTGATTGCAATAATACTTCAAAATACATGCATAAACATAATAGAATATTTTAACAAAATAAAAATACATGTACATTACAGTTTCAACTTTTATTTTATCACTTATTCTGTGTTTTTTTGTTAAGATTGGAGAAAAAAACGCCAGTTTGGTATAAAGTACTTATTTTCATTTATTACAGCATAATCTCTACAGAGTGGCCCTTTTGAGAGCAATTACCTCTATACAACAATAGTTTCAGTTTTTGCAAAGGGTGTTACTCTGCAGAGGTTGTACCGTATTTCATATTTGATTTTTTTCGACATTCTCTTAAAACAAGAAAAGAATATATATTGGCTTTTATATGTCTTTTATTACAAATGCATATCATTTAGACTCACATGTTGCATTATTATTTCAGTGCATATAATATTATGTATAATGGGCAATTATATTTCAGCATGATTATCTGAAAGTACTTGGGATGGGAGGGAAAGAGGGTATTCTCTCCCATTCTGTATATACAGTTATATTATTAGTTATAAAGATGTTTGACAGATTATATGGCCCTATATAAATAGTTGTTTGGAAATATAACCAGAGCCGGTAGGCTTAAATTACTCTCTGTGAACAAGTTCCTATAATGACTTGCCTATTCAACCAGAACATAAGTAAGCAAATACATGTATATACATGTACCTCTGTGAATTCGCTGAAAACTGTTTGAAAAGGCTATGTATTGTATTTAAAAAAAACCCTCATACATACAATGGATAGATCCAAATACAAAGAAGGACCAGTCCATTTTACAAATTAAGCATGGACAGGGTTAATGGCTATAAATTTTACAATACAATTTCAAAAAAAAAATCTGTATCAAAAATCTTAATCTCATGGAATAGTCAATATATGGCACTTTCATAACTATGTCCAGTTTCTAAATAATCTTAATTATAACAAAAAAAAGCAATTCTATTGTATATTCTTCCTGTACAATCTCTACACATTTACAAGTTACTCTATCTACTGTGCATTCATTTAAAGATATACTATACTCATCTTTGAGTAAAATATGTTAATCATAAAAATTTATTATGAAATCCATGAAGTTCTTACTGAATATATTTAATTTGAAAAAAAATATAAATAAACTATGTATGGGAAGCGGTGTTCCCTATTACAGGTCAAGTAAAGTTGGTACTTTCTTAAAATAAATAAATAAAACACAAACCAACACTATATTATTCATATTGTGACCTCCTATTGTGTGTAGAGTTTCAAATGTAACACATCTACTTTGTGTGAAGTAAAAACATGTTAATTTTATATCTACAGAGAACAATTATCAATATTTTCTAATATCAAATTTGACCATAGTATATCTTTAATTTTGTGGGCATAACATTTCGTGGTATATATTGTCCAAAAAGGACGTTTTTGTGGGTTTCTTAAATTCTCGGATTGTCGTTTTTTTTTGCAAGAAAAAGTAAAATTCAAATAATGTAATGCAAAAGAATTTTAAGCAGATAAAATAAAAAATTTTGGATCTTGACTTTGTAAACCCATCAATGAAAACCATGTACATTTAAATGTCCCTTAAATAATAATTTTATAGTATATATTATTTTGTGTATTCATATGAAAACAATGACACTTGTGGTTTATTTACAACAAATAAATAATATTCAATAAATATAAACTTTCAAAACTAAATTCTTTGAAAACAAGTAATTAAAAAAAATATATTCAAAATTTATGATACCAAAAAAAGGGGGTCTACATGCATGTTCATGAATACATTATCACATAGGTACAAGTTTTCAAGCATTTTCCTGAAGTTCAGGTTTTTTTTCTACTTTTTAAAGCTCTCTTTTTCTTTATGAAACCAATTGAAATGATACTAAATTCAGGAATATTTTTAACTTGCACCCATGTAATACTAGTAACAATCAGTATTCAATATTTTGATCTTAAGGACCTGTATCAGCTAATAAAAAAATCATAGCATTCATACAGATATATAAAAAAAACTTCTTTGTGTCACAAAGCTATATTTGTATGTATATCATCTCCCTGTATAAATATTTCATTAGTGTGTGTAACATTTTATTAATTTGTAAAACATTTTATTAATTTTTCAAACCTAACATTTGTGATAATGACGGGTTAATTCTGTATTAACACTGGTGCCTTATCAAGTAAATAATAGCTATAATTCACTGAAACTTTGATAAAAAATATAATTTCAACATGTAATGTATATACAATGTATATTATATATCCTATAAACCTTCTAGTTTTGATACCTGCTTGATATACATTGTATATCATTTCGATTGGATTTCTAGATATAATGGTATGATTACAAAAATAAAATTTCCCCCAAAAAAACTATGCAGCATAATTATATGCCAGGAATCGTAACTCTGCAGTAACATAGTCAAAATCCTATAACATCTATCTATCTAGTGTATATTATATGTTACATTTTTGTTGAATCTCCTCACAAGAACGTCAACAGATACATGCTGAATAAAATCTCAAATATGAAGTACTGTCTAACATATCGTTAACACATCATAGAAAAAACATGTAGAGAGAAAAGAAGGCAAGATTAAACATATGCACAGCCATGCCCCTCCCTCTCTGAAGTGTATGCAAGCATTCCCCCTCCCTTTACCAAGTGTACACAGCCATGCCCCTCCCTCTATCAAATGTATACAGTCATACCCCTCCCTCTATCAAGTTTATACAGCCATGCGCCTCCCTCTATCAATGTACACAGACATGCCCCTCCCTCAATCAATGTACACAGAAATGCCCCTCCCTCAATCAAGTGTATCTCCCTCTATCAATGTACACAGCCATACCTCTCTCTCTATCAAGTGCACACAGCTATGTCCCTCCCTTTATCAAGCGTACACAGCCATGCCCCTCCCTCTATCAAGCTGAAAGGGAGTGGCCAAACAAAAATTAGCCATGCCCCTCCCACTATCAAGCTGAAAGGGAAAGGCCAAACAAAAATTACTCTGTTACTATTGCACCAAGCATTATATACTACCACATTCTACAATATATACCTAATTATTTAGTTATTATTTCTGAAAGTCATAATAATATAATAAATATTGTTTTATGTACACAATCTAGTTACATAAGCAACCTAAGGGAGTTACTCCCTCAAGTACATGACTGTATTAAAGTGACATTATGCTCATATTTTGGCTATAATATTAAGCCAAATCAGCTATATACATGTATTTCAAAATGATCACTTTAACATATCACATATTTATGTGTATTGTCACTTTAACACATCACATATGTGTATAATGTCACTTTTACACATCACATATGTGTATAATGTCACTTTAACATATCACATATGTGTACAATGTCACTTTAACATATCACATATGTGCATAATGTCACTTTAACATATCACATATGTGTATAATGTCACTTTAACACATCACATGTGTATAATGTCATTTTAACATTCACATATGTGTATTGTGTCACTTTAACATATCACACATCATTTCAATTTGGTCCATTATAACATAAATACAGTAAACTGTACATTTTGCTGTCATTTTAAACAAAATTCTTATATACAGCATTATATTACATCTTTGATTTGTTCATATTTAAGTCAAACATTCAGTTAGTTTGATTTCCAGGTAAAATGATTAATTCTACATATAACTTCTATGAGATATAAATATCACATACAATACATACACAGTGTTCAAGTTTCAAGAAATGCCCACTCTTAACAAGAAAAAATAAATAATTTGTTCAAAAATGTAAAACAATAACAGTGTAAGAAGAAAACAAAAAGCAAACAAGAAAATGTCTATCATGACCATTGATAATTTCCCATTTTGTATACTTGTCTTGAAAGATTAATTTGGCACCGATTTCAAATTGCACAAATAATTTGTAAAGAGTTGGTATGCACAAACTATTTGTAGAGATATAAATAGCTTAACTGTTTGGGGTATGGTTAATATCCAATAGACACAGTCACATTCGAGGTGCCTATGAAAAAACTTCATGTGCACTTTTTTTACTTAATTTTCGGGCACAAGGCAGCAATATCATATAATCAGGTCTAGAGATTTTTTAAACTTTTTCTCTGATTTTTTTCTTGATTCTCTGGATTTTCATTCTTCAGTGTAAATTTTTTGCAAGTTTTTGACCAAACAGATGCCTGAGCTCGGAGTTTGATTTTTTTTCTCAATAATCTCTGACCTTGGTGTTAAGTAAGCTAGCAAGGCAGCTTCCTCTAAGCTTGAAATCAGAATGATTGAATGATCTTGTCACAGTTAACCAAATACTATTCACCTACATACATAGTATGAATATGAAAATGTGCAATAAAATAAAAAGTGAAGAATCACAAGCATTCATGAAGGAACCAAATTAGATGAGACCTGATGGTTGCAACCCACGTAACTAAGATGACCTCCCAAAATTTATATGCAACAAAAACTCTACATAAAATTAACAAACATACCTCAATACAAACCAAGTGGTAAAAGTATCTAGAAAATAACTAATAACTTCAAAGCTGTAAAAATGTGTTTCCGAACTAAATGACAATCACAGTTTATTTTTTGTCTGATGTTTTGGTCTTGTATTTTAATTTACTAATTTTGACTGATGCGGAATCTTTGGCTGTTTTAACCGGGCCACCAGGCTTGTTACGATACCTTTCGTATATTTTTATCAGCCTCTGTTGAACGTCACCCAGTAGAGGGCGCTTGACTGGCTCGCATTCCCAGCACTCTGTCATTAAGTCCCAGCATTCATCATCAAAGACCGGAAGACTTTCCGGTCGTAAACCTGTATGTAAATATACAAGAGAAATTATTGAACATTTTCCATTAATCTATATTTGAAGATTTCATAACGAAAGTCAACCTGCACATCCATTCTATCTGACAAAGCTTGATTCTTTTGGCTAACTAATTTTTCACTTGATATCCACAAAATTGATATTTTAGGGACAGTTTCAAAAATAGAGCACATGAACACTCAATGAAAATCTGATGTATTTATGTAATTGATTTAAGTATATTAGTATCTCAAACAATCATTTGTTTAATTTTCATATGCTAATTGAAGTAATATTACATGTAGAAAAGGAACAGTGTGGCATTTTTAACAAGGAAAGTGCATCTTGTAAATTAGAAGAACACTGTCTGAAGTTTTCAGATGGCCTTTTTCAATATTGTTTGTTAAATTAAATAGGATTTCGTCTTTATTTAAAAGTCATCTTAAACACAATTTAGACTGCAATTCAATTTATTCTAGCCAGATGTTGGACAAGTCAAACTGTTGTTGATGTATATTATTAGGTTATAATGAAAACATACCTCGTTTAACATTTGTCCAAAGCTGGTCCTTGTTGGCACATTGTTCAAAATTTTGTGGAAGGCGTACACTTCCGGCACAAATATACCAGAACAATATACCGAACGCGTACACGTCAACACTGCTGTCATACCGGCCTGTAAACAGTTCTGGTGCCATGTGGATAGGTGTACCTGAAAAGAGCAATAAACATGTCTTTATCTTTTATTCACATATATAAATACATTTGAGCCATGTCATGACAAAACCAACATAATGCCTTTGCGACCAGCATGGATCCAGACCAGCCGCAGTCTGATCAGGATCCATGCTGTTCACTTACAAACCCTATAACAAGTAGAGAAACTGATAGCGAACAGCATGGATCCTGATCAGACTGCGGCTGGTCTGGATCCATGCTGGTCGCAAACACATTACATTGGTTTTGTCATGACACCGCTCATTTATGTATTCAAAAAATCTGTCTCAAATTCAAAACTGTGATAGTTATGCATGTAGAATATGCAAATTCTACATGCAAAACATCTCTTTTATTCAAATAAATATTTGTGAAAAGTCAAGTTACTCTGTCATTTAAATACTGGGCAGTGTATGAAATGGTTTTTACTAGATCAAGGGTCATAGCTCTGAGTTGAAAACTAAAACCTTTGAGCTCAAATTTATCTTACTCCAATAAAAATTTGTTAAATTTTGTTGTAAATCTCTGTCACAAGTAACAGCCTGTATACTAACAGATTTTCAGGATGCATTGATGTAAGAATGTATGAAAAGACATAATTATATGTCATCCCAAATTTTGTGGATTGGGGACTGAGGGTTGTGGGGGACACATAAAATCTCTTTCTACTTACCTACTATGCTACCACTCATCATGGCCTCCGGTTTACAGAAACCTAGATCTGTTATTTTACCTCTGTTTTGGGAGTCAAGCTAAAAATATAACACACATATACATTGGATTATTATTAATTTCACCAATAAAGTAAGTACATCAAAAGAGGCCCCCTGTAATAATGAACCAACTTTTGCCCCAACCCTTTTGTATAGGAATATTTTGTATTATTTCATAAATGCATTGTGTATACAATACAATACATGTATAATGTATTATAAAATTAAACAAATGTAGGATATTGAATGAGTGTAGGTTTAATACTAAATAAATTGAACGAGTTTAATAAAAGCATATTATTTGAGCCTTGGCGAGCGTAATACTGTTTTATTCAATATATAATAATATATATATATATAATATTCTTTTATATCATGTATAAAATATGAACGGTAAACTGTTGAAAAGAGTCATTTTTCTATGATGTGGCTATAGTGTACAGTAACGCTACATTAGCACACTTAAACATTATGTTTATATATACTCAGTAACGCAAATGATGTCAAGTCAAAGTCTTATTACACTAGTGTAATATCATTTTTATTAAATGTCTTTAATACACTCCTGCACCACGGTTTATGCAATTAGACAAAAATCTTAGCACCTGATACTTTTTTAAATTAAAAAATGGTCTTTCTTAAGCAGTTCACAAGCATGTTGTGAGAAGAGAGTGATAATAAAATTTGTGTGTAAACCTTACCAAGACATTTTTCAATTTGATATCCCTGTGTACTAGACCCTGACTGTGTAAAAACCTTATTCCTTCAACCACGTCTATAGACACTTGTAACCTTAAATAATTTCAAAAGTTAAAATATATAATGGTAAAAAATATGCACTACTATGTCTTTTTAATCCTAAAACCATGATTTTTCTTAAATAGACTTGTCCATCATTCACTTTCATAACTGTCCATTATACAGTTTGGGGATCAAGATGAAAATTTGAAGTTGTTGAGCCACCATTAGAGCCAGGTCAGACTGTAATGAGTGCAGTCTTAAGGCTAGCGTTCTAATAACGCTGGCAAAGCTTAATCTTTTTCAATAAAGGTTTGAAATATTTTTGCATTACTCCACAGATCTGGGAAAATAAAATAAACACTGAGAAAATAGCTTTAATTTAACTCTTATTTGGAATAAAGTCTCAATCCATAAGCTCTGAACATCTTAACATCATAAACCTATACAAAACACAGATAAAAAGCTCTGTAACTTTTGCTCAAGTATTATTTATAGTCTCAATCCTTTATATAAACAAGATTTTACACTTTTGATTAAACAAATATGTTACCACAATTACACTTTTGATTAAAATTGTTTCAAAAAATGACAATTAGGCTGACTTATTGTGCCTTAAACAATTAACAGTGGTGCACCTGATGTTTTTTACCAGTCAATATGATAAATCTTCAAAAGAACCCAACAAAAAAAAATTTCAGTCAAGGTCATAAATCTTCAAAAGAACCCAACAAAAAGAAATTTCAGTCAAGGTGATCAATCTTCAAAAGAACCCAACAAAAAGAAATTTCAGTCAAGGTGATAAATCTTCAAAAGAACCCAACAAAAAGAAATTTCAGTCAAGGTCATAAATCTTCAAAGAACCCAATGAAAAGAAATTTCACTCAAGGTGATAAATCTTTAAGAGAACCTAATGAAAAGAAATTTGCAAATACTGACAGAATTACAGATAGTATAAAAATACCACAAAGAAATGCTAATGAGAACTTACCTGCCCACCCAATCAAGGTGTTGTTTTATTGCCGTATACAAATCTCGTTGAAGTCTATCCATGACCAGTAACACAGCTGGAGTTGTCCCCCCTCCGTATGTGTAATCTATAATCGACCCCCGTAACATTACCACGCGGTCATGATCAGGTATATTCCTATGAATAAATTAAAATTAACACAACTGTTAATCACTGTAAATATATAACTTGTAAACCTGAAAATTTGATAGGTCTTAGAACAAGACTGGTAATACTGTTATGGTTTAAAGAAACAACATTCCTTTCGATTTCAAAAGTACTTGCAACTAAATGTAATAGCTCTGAAAACATAATTATTATAAACCTTTTATTCAGACAGCCATGTCTTCTTACTAACAATATTGAATTCCTTTTTGCTAGTTTCAATAATGCTTAATTTCTCAACTTACTCAACAATAGTCCTTCCTTTTTGAGTTGAGAAAATAATAATTTCACTCTTCATACAAGAGTTTCCATCATTCTTGCATATCAGAAATAAGTCTGAATAGATTTTATAGTGTACACAAGTGCTGTCACCAATGGTTAAGTTGCACACTTAAGTAAGGGCAACATTGTCGCAAAATACACCCGTCACAAAAAGTTTTGATGGAGATGTGGACATTATGGATAATGCCTGGGGTGTTCCTATTATATGACCCATTTTTGAAATAAAAACTCATTATGTCCTTATGAATTAGTTCACTGCTTATCATGATTGTTAATGAAGTTGTAAATTCACATCTTGTCATTAGAACATAAAAGTACTAAATAAAGATATTATTAAGAAGTAAAACGTTCTAAATAAAAATATCAGTTTTATGAACTTAAACTTACTTTGTATAAAAGAATTCCAAGGCAAGATCATTCCAATGTTTGTCATCAGGTGGGACCACAGACTTTATGGCACAAGGGGTGTGGCCTGCCCATCTATCACATGCATATACCACTCCATACTGGCCCCGCCCAATCTCTTTACCCATCTGAGGCATACCTGTCACCATAATATCAAAAAAAATTTAATAAAAGTCCCTTACTTGGCTATGTCACCAGTACAGATCGGAGTCAAGCTTACACATCTTCTAACAAACTTCTAGACAATATAATTTTGACCTATACTTTTATACAAACAGGGAAAATAGCTGGTGATAATTCAAGTAAATTAATTTTACATATTAACAGGGTCATACTTTAGTCTTTTATAGTATATACCAATGTTAGTTTGATTGTGTTGGAAACTGGAAGCTTATTAAAACACTCTCAAATCTGTTCCTGGAACCAACTAGTACTAAGCAATGAGTGTAAAGTTTCTTGCTAACGGAAAAAACTTGCCCCTGACAGGGTGACAGGGTTTGAACCCATGTGGCCAACAATCCTTAGATAACGAGTCCACCACAATTCAGTCTTGTTTCCAAAACTTATAAAAATGACTACCCTAAGAATCTATTATGTAACATTTTAAAACTTATTTATTTCAATGTGAAAATTTCCCTCCTACAGGTACAGAGACTAGTCCTCCAAAACAGAGAGAAATAACCCTGCTTATATAATTCATATCTAGATTTTTGTTACAATTTCATGAAAGAAACACTCCTACCATGTAAAATGAGATCTTTTAGAGATGTGCTCTCGAGAGCAACCTTAGCAACTCGTGGAGCATGAACCTTCCTAAGTTTGAGTCTCTCCTCTTCAATCTTGTCCAGTCTCCCACAATGCTTCATTTCTAGTTGTTTTAATGCTGACAAGAATGCCTCATGAGATTTGTTCAGGCGGTCCTTGATCTGAGAAGATATACTTTTGGCTAACCTAAACACAAACACAGAATAAATAAATACAGGTAAGTAGTGAATATAAATTTTATCTACAGCATTTCAGAGCAATAAAGTTTTTAAAATGGGTTATAATTTGTACTCACTTAACATGCCATTTGAAAAAGAATTTGACAGAGAAAATGGAACATTTTATGAATAATGGCAGAGAAAATAGAACTACTTTATGAATAATGGCAGAGAAAATGGAACTACTTTATGAATAATGGCAGTGTAAATGGAACTACTTTATGAATAATGGCAGAGAAAATGGAACTACTTTATGAATTCATGATTTGTGATCAAATTAAATACAGTACAACCTCGGCAGAGCAGCACCATTTGGAAGACAATGATTTTGTTTGTTGCCGAGAAGTGTTGCTCCTTAAATGTTAAATTTATTTTGCTTAATAGAATAAATTCATTTTGACCTCTTACCGCAGAAAGAAGTGATTACTGATGTTTTAAAGAAGATGTTACTATAATTAGAGTCATTCTGCAGGGATTGCACTGTACAATAATATATTTCTAACTTATGTTCAAGCGAAACATCACATTTAAATGCAATAACTAGGCAGGAAGACACCTTTTAGGGCGATTGTATAGGTAATATTTATAGTATTTTAAAGATGCATGCCTTCCAGATGAGCCAAAATATTTTCAAAAAATCAAACTTGAGGAAAATGTACTAAGATTTTGAGAAAAGTAAAAAGATTTAAGAATAAAGTAATAATTTACTTGTTATGAGCCATTAATGACTGTTTTTTTAGTATTTGTTACTATAATTCTACTGTGCAATGCAGTAAGGGCTAGTTTTTTTCTTATTTTGTTAATGGCCTCTTTTTTTGTAATCTACATGGATTGCAAGTGCTGTTTGCAATGTGTAAACTACTTTCTTTGGTCACTTCACAATATTTTATTTCTAAATAATTTTCAAATATTTATGAACCTGGAGGCATGCAGCTTTAAATCTTATTATAGGATAAAGGGCATATTAATTGAACTTTAGATATTATTTTAGGATTTCAATATATTCATCTCAAGTATTTATTCAGTGTACCTAGCAGCACTGAGACTGGCTAACATGTCAGAGGCAACTTTTGTCTTCCACTCATCATCAATCTTGGGGCTCTGACTCCATGGCATAGCTTGAACTAACTGTGAATACAAACACATTACTCTATTATCATTCATGCTATATACATGCATATAACATGCATATCTACAAATAAACCAATTTTACTGACAATTTAAGATAATTATTTTTCAAATTCTATTGATTTACATAATGTCATAATAATTTATTTATTTTTGAGGTGGGAAAGTTCAGTAACACAAGTATGAGCTGTTAAGGTCATAGGCCAGCTTTCAATCAAGCTTTGCAGATGGTAGAATAATTCTCAGGTGATCATCTATACTTTATTTTACGGCATTAAAGTAGAGCAACCAAACTTCTTTAAATTAGCTGGATAAATTTCGCAAATGAAAAATAACAACCTTCTGTAAGTGCTGGTATTCCATTTCGTAACAGTAAGGGGCAAGTGGATCAATGCCATCAACTTGAATCATTAGAGGCCTTTGGGTTTATTTCAAGACTCAGAAAAGCATACATGATAAGCACACCAATTTCATTGGCAAGATTAATCACTCCTAAAATTGCATGTATATTCCTCCCTTATGTTCTTAAATTAGTACAATAAGATTCCTGTACAATAAGATTGGTCCTATGCCAGCTACCAATCTGTCCTATTTGGTCAACTTGCCAATAAATACATTGAATAAACTTACAGCAATTAACTAGCATATCAAAGCAAAAGGCTACTTTACATATTTATTATAAGTTAATCTCTTCCAAATGAATTGACAACTATCAAACAACTCTTAAACATTTTAAATTAACCAATCAATTTACTGTTGAAGGTATGCAGTAAATTATTTGGCTTAAAATAATAATTATATAATTTTTTTTTACTTATAACTACAAAATTTCCTTATCTAATTCCTTATAAGTTCTGCTATAAGATATTTCCTTTCATTGGCTAGATTTTGTTGTCACATAAATATTATTACAGTCAAATGGAGACTTGTTTTCTTGCATATCAGACAGGTTTATCTACCATTAACACTGGTGCTAGAAAAACCTGGCTTACACCCCATGTTATACAATTCACATGCTTTAAATGATGCCAGCCTGTAATGAATGAACTGTGTTCTTAGGATGACGTCATTTTATTGTTATGAATGAAGTTGTAAGTTCATACACTACTAATAACAATGAGTGTTTGGAAAATATCAGTTTTTGTAATTTCTGTCCTGAAAAAGATTGACATTAATGGGATATGCAAGAAAAAAGATCAAACTCCCAGCTAACGGTTTAGTGGAAACAAGGCGGAGCCTCGTTTATAAATTGTTACCCTTGAGCTAGATTAATTCCGATCTGTACCGGCAGGGGGTGTAAGATTCTTATAAGATTTACTAATGGAAAACACCCTCAAAAAAGTGTTCATGAACTTCATTTGTGTATTTTATCAAGGACAAATGGTTGCCCTAGTTGAACTACAAACATTCCATAAAATATACTAATTGTATAATCATTATAACATTTGTGGCCTCTAAGTTTAAAAAAAACAACAAAAAAACATTCTGTCTGCAGGTTGTCAACAAACAATTTTGTTGTTAAAATGTAATGCTGATTTTGCGATTAAAATTTTACTGAATCTTGTATTTCACTTAATGAGCAAAGTAAGAATATGCCTTAACAATAACTTAAGTTTGCAACTAAGTCCATGCACTAAAGCTTACCTTTTTCATTTTCTTGCGAAAACCAAACCCAAGAGATATATCTAGATTAATTTCCAGCCTGTAAGCCGTCAATAGCATCTGTGTGGATGGATTCAAATCTGCCTTATTTATTACCTAACAAATCTAAAATGACTTTACCATACCATACAGAGCATACCATACAATAACATACCATAGACATGCAGCGAGATAACTTCTTCATAGAGACAGACACAATCAAAGAACAAAAACTCAGAGCCCATGCAAAAAGTACAACTTGCAGTCAAACATATGGAAGTTTCAAGATATATTCCTAGAATGTTTATAGAAGATCAGCCAGGAACAAGAATATTTCTAAAGGATTTAATCATTACATTTAAAGATCAGACATTCATCAGAAGCAAAGGATAAATATGTCAAAGATAAGGCAATTCCAGGAAAACTAAGGCAAAGGCATAGCATGTCAACGACCTAAAGGCAATTCCTAGAAGATTTAGGTAAAATGCTGAGTTAAGTTTAAGGCAAAGGCACAAACGCTTAATATGAAGCAAATCCAAGAGGTGTATGGTATAGAATGTTAAGATTCAGGAAAAATACCAAAGGTTCTATCAACACTGCGTCAATACATTATTCAGACATTTCTAGATTTTAGGCTAAACATTTTAGCCAGTCAGACACACAGATGATGTCAATAACTAGGACAATCTGAATGTATCAGACACAAAGTATCAATGACTTGACAATTTTAAAAACTTTTATGTAGAGAATACAAGTATAAGAAAAATGACCTTTTCCTTCCCTTTTATGCCCGAAAATGAAAGAAACAAGAAGTTGAAAAGTATACTGGACCAGTTAGAGTAACTTGGCCAAGCAAAATTAATTCAGTTATACAACAATAAAACCAGGATAAGTGTAAATGAAATGTACCATTAGCATCCATTTAGATCTTCACCTATAAAATCTTTCTCCAGTTTTATGCAAAGGAAGAGAAGGCAAAAATAATGCCATGACATCACAACAAAAGATTTGACCTTGACCTTGTAAACAGTGTATTGATATATGTGCTACATTAACCCCTAATCTGCTGACTTTTCTAAATGGACTTGTCCAGCAACCATTTTATAAACAGTCCATTATCAATTTGGGGGATTATAATCAAGATGAAAATCAAAAGTAAATCAGACAACAGTATAGAGGCTGGTCAGACTCTACAGATTTGCAAACTGACCTGGCTTTGTGCAATCTGACCAGGCTCTTTACTGGTGGCAAAGACTGTGAATTATTTTAGGAATATTCACATTTATGTAACATTCACTGTGAAATACTAGAAAGAAAATTTTCAAGACCTAAATTTAGCAGAGTTTGGTTTTCTTCCTCAATTATAATAAAAATCCTCACTCAACAATGTAAAATAAATACTACCAACAAGTGCTATCCTAGAATAGATTAATTTGATCCTCAGCTTGCTTGCAGAGATTGAGTCCCCCCCCCCCCCCCCCCCCCCCCCCCCCCCACCGACTGCTACTTAAGCAGACCAACATCAGCTGGCACATCAGTCTGATCAAGGTCTGCACTATCTGCTATTCTGACTAATTCAGTCAGTACTTGCTTTGAAATTCTACCTAAAAACGATGAATGAATTATTCCAGATTGAAAGACGGACAAGTCCATTTAAGATATCAGTGTGATAAGGGTCAAACTTCTTTCAGACTGAGGAAAAGAAAAATGGATATACAAGTGAAGAAACAAAGCTATGATCATGTATAATGCAGTCTTATATGCAGAGGGCATATTATAACCAGGAACTCCCACATCAAATCATGCTGAGAAGGCAATAAGCCACAGAGCAAGAAGCAAAAGTTTGACATATATATAATAGAGTTAAATCGTACCTGTTTCATTCGTTGAAGCAGAAAGTTTATAATATTGGAGCTTGATCGAACAGTAATCTCGACCTGGTACGCAGCATTCAAAATCTGTAAGGAAAAGATAGATAAACATGCTTCATGCATTTATGTGTCACGGCAGTTTTCAGTATCTATTTCCTAACCAAGTGACAGCAGTTTTTAGTATCAATTTCCTAACCTAGTCACAGCAGTTTTCAGTATTAATTTTACTAACCTACACAATATAAAAACCTATGAAAATCTTAAGTTTTTAAAATCATTCAAAACCCAATTATTTTTCAACTCCCAAAGTTGACTCTTTCATGCTGTTCATTTAATAAATACCCCACCTGCTACCTTTATTTATTGAAAAACTTAAGTGGTCTGGAGCCAAACTTAAACTTGACCTATACTTTAAACATTTGTGTACCAAAAATTATTACAATTTATTGCCTTATTTAAGAGTAATTATCTACTAACCATGTTTTTTTTCCAAAACAGAAAAAAAGGTGGGCAAAACTATATAGAATAGCGGTTTGAAGCCAAATTTGAACTTGTCTTCATCATGTGGCATTTATTTAACAAAAATAATCACAATCTATTGTCTCATTACAGTCATTGGGCAATGGAATTAGATTTTGTTGTTTTTTTTTACAAAAAAAAAAGGCTAGAAAAAGAATAAAGAATATAATGTATGTAATAGACATTCAGTTTTCTTTACCAGACAAGAATTAAATCTTATAAATAGATGTGAATATATATATATGTGAGATATAATATATCAGAAATAGTTCATAACAAGGCAGACAATATCTGAAAATAATAACATCATTATCATCATAATTAAACAAATACAACAAATTGAAATTACAAGAAATCAAAAATGATATTTGTATCAGGAAGCTGTTCTGCTTTTTTTTATTTTTTTATAAATATCTAAATCCAACATACACTATTAAGGTCATACAGACACTGCAAAGGTCAAGGTCATACTGACACTATTAAGGTCATACAGACACTGCAAGGTCAAGGTCATAATGACACTTTTAAGGTCACGCTTCAAAGGTCATACAGACACTGTTAATGTCATACAGACACTGAAGAGGTCATACAGACACTGTTAAGATCATATAGACACTGTTAAGATCATACAGGCATTGTTAATGTCATAAAGACATTGTTAAAATCATATAGACATTGTTAAGGTCATATAGACATTGTTAAGGTCATATAGACATTGTTAAGGTCATACAGACATTGTTAAGGTCAAATAGACACTGTTAAGGTCATATAGACATTGGTAAGGTCATATAGACACTGTTAAGGTCATATCGACACTGTTAAGGTCATATAGACATTGGTCAGGTCATATAGACACTGTTAAGGTCATAAAGACACTGTTAAGATCATACAGACACTGTTAAGGTCATATAGACATTGTTAAGATCATACAGCCTAACAGGCATTGTTAATGTCATTCAGACACTGTTAATGTCATACAGACACTGTTAAGGTCATACAGACACTGTTAACATCATATAGACACTGTTAAGATCATACAGACACTGTTAATGTCATACAGACACTGTTAAGGTCATATATACATTGTTAAGGTCATATATACATTGTTAAGGTCATATAGACATTGTTAAGATCATATAGACATTGTTAAGGTCATATCGACACTGTTAAGGTCATATAGACATTGGTAAGGTCATATAGACACTGTTAAGGTCATAAAGACACTGTTAAGATCATACAGACACTGTTAAGGTCATATAGACATTGTTAAGATCATACAGCCTAACAGCCATTGTTAATGTCATTCAGACACTGTTAATGTCATACAGACACTGTTAAGGTCATACAGACACTGTTAAGGTCATATAGACACTGTTAAGATCATACAGACACTGTTAATGTCATACAGACACTGTTAAGGTCATATATACATTGTTAAGGTCATATAGACATTGTTAAGATCATATAGACATTGTTAAAGTCATATAGACACTGTTAATGTCATATAGACACATTTAAGGTCATAAAGACATTGTTAAAGTCATATAGACACTGTTAAGGTCATATAGACATTGCTAAGTTCATATAGATACTGTTAAGGTCATATAGATACTGCAACGGTCAAATGACACATTTCAAGTTTTACTGTGGAGGAAGAGCTCAGCTGCCTGTCAGTGCATAATATCAGGCAGATGCCTTGGTTGAAACACTGACTGAAAATCAATTTCATACTGAAACAAACCCTGCTTAGTCTTAAAGCAGAATTGTTTAAAAGAACCATCATCCTTTAATATATTAAGAACCACAGTGGACTTAAATAAGAATGAAAAGTTGTCATAGCAACAAAGTGTCAAATGATTGTATAAATATTAAAAGATCAAATCTATTACATTTTGTTTTATTTAACTCCACTTCTGTTTTAATTAAGAAGAAACTTAAATTTATCTGTATTTTCTGAGTATCAATCAGACAAATGCTTGATGTTTTCTTTGTTTGTGAAATAAAGGACCCATATTTTACCACATAATTAGATATTATGATTTTACTTTCACAACCAAAAGGAAAATAAATTTGATCAAACATTACTCATCAAGACTAAAGTCTCAACATAACCAGTATTTTTAAAATTGCACTTGACCTTCAGGCACTTGAATTTCTATAACTGCAATTTCTATTCATTCATTGCATATTTTTTTCAAAATGGACCTAAATGTACAGGACAAATTTGAAGCATATATTTGTATGACTACCTGTTTCAAAGCCTCTGTGGTGGTACTGTTGCCTGGGTTTTCTATTTCTACCTTCTCCAAACTTTCTAAACATCTTGTCAATGTACCTGCAAAACAATAAGTTACAGATCAGTTTCCAGTGACTGTTTTGGCTAATTTTAATAGCTGTTATACGGTCATATTCCCAACTGAAAATAGTATATTATTTTCCCAATCTACAGGAGAAAACTCCCAATTGAAAGTTATAAAATAAATATATTGAATAAAGAATTCTAAAATCTTTAAAATCTGCATCACTGTTATAGTGCTTAAATGATTGAAGATGCAATCCTAGACACTGAATGTTTGCATTCATTTAATCACTTTAAAATTCAGTCTTGCATTTTTCCCAATTTAACATCTTGGTCTGAATCGTGAACTGTCATTGATTAAATGTTTTGAGAATTTCAGATAAAAAAATGCGGCTCAAGATTTGGCAAAATAACTAGAAGCATTTTCAGTGCTTTGATTTAAACTTTTCTTTTTTTCACCTTCAACTGATAACAGATATTTTTAGTTTGTTCTTTTCGTGGTTTATTTGTTGATTTAAAAGGACACCACTGATGTTTTTTAACATGATTCGACTGGAAATAAGTTTTTGAGATTTTATCATTTATGTACCATACATGTATGATCGATGAAGGTCTGGACATGCAAAATTTCAGTTTGTTCCCTCCTTTTATTCTCCAGAAAAATGTTTTAACTGTAGGTGAAAAATTGCCTAACAATAAAGTGTTTAAATGCTATTAACTTAAATGAGGCTAAGAATCACACTAAACTATGATTTTCAATAAAGTTTTCAGTATATTTCATGAACATCATCTTTTGCATATCTTTTTATTGAATACAGGCACAGTTTAAATGTTTATCTATGTTTAAGCCATTCAGTTTTATGTTTTCAGGTTTTGAGACCTCATGCAGTGGCGTTCCTTTTCGTATAAAAAATATCAGAGATAATTCAATACAACAAAAAGAACTATCCTTTTAAGGCCAAATACCTAAAAGTTGAAGTTACAATTTATTTCGATCAAATTTATCATTGATTGATATCATTAACAGCTCTGGCAAGCTGTGACAGTGCAATGTATATTCTGACACTTTAGCAAGGCATTGATTGATTGTTTCTAACAAACGAAAAAATGAGAAAAATAAAACAATGCAACAAAACACAAGCTAATTTAGCCAGGGTGGCATATTACCACCTAATAGCTCATGAGAATATCATCCAAAAAATACCACACCACAATTATGTCAATGTTTTATTTGTTTGTTTTGTTCCATTTGTAACGGTGCACAAATATCAATATTAAAATTCATGGAATATACTTGTATGTTTTTTTTGTTTGTTTTTTTTACTTGGGTTTTAAGTCACACTGACACAGTATAAGTCATTTGGCGACGTTCCAGCTTTACTGGTGGAGGAAGACCTCACTGGTGCCTCTCCGTGCATTTTTTCAGGCAAAAACGTGCACCTGAGTAGAACCACCGACGTTCCCTAAGCTAGCTGGATAGCTTCCTCACATGAAAGAATCCAAAGTCCCTGTCGGGATTTGAACCCACAGCTGTGAGGGGCAAGTGGTTTGAAGTCAACGACCTTATCCACTCGGCCACGGACACCCCTATTCTTGTATGTAAAAATCAATTCAAATGGCCAGAAACAATACACATGACCATATTTTCTGTAAACATAATACTACAACAATAGTCCTTTTATCACAATGTGGTTTAATTCGATTCAAAACAACCAAACAGTCCAGCCTACTTCACTCTATTTACCACCAATTTCCTAATGCTTAAATATATTTCCTTGATGTGAGGGGTTACAGGAAACTAAAATGACAACTATCATTTTCTGAACCCTTCTGATATAGCAAACACTTCAATCTTTATCCTTTTATTAATTGACCATAATTTTCAATTTATCATACATCAAATATCTAAAATAAATAGTTTCATTTCGTCTCCTGGCCCTGTGTTCACTATTAAAACAAGAATCAAGTGACCATGATTTTATTTTCATAGCTTTATAAAACTAAAATTGATTGTATCTTTTTAAGATTATAAGGAACATAAATAAAATGTAAAAGATTTGCATAGAAACAACCCTAATAACAGATAAAATTAACAAATAACATGACTAATTCTAAATAATTAGATCAAAATAAGGATCAATTTAAGGATCAAGATCAATATTTGGACAAACTGTAAAATGCCCATATCTTTTAAGATAACAAGAAATTTATTCAAAAATTTCATATAAATGCTATTGCTACAAAAATGTATTTCTAGTCCAATTTTATCAAGTAAATATTAAATATTTAATCTGTAAGGAAAAACAATGGAGAATACATGTATTTGAGTTTTTAAATTTGATCCTGTTTTTGATCTTGATCCTGATCCTTAAATCTTAGTGAATACAGGGCCTAAGGATATAAAGTACACTGTAATATTAACTTATTACAAGAAATAATTTATAATCACTTAATTATTACAGAGGAAAAGTTAAGTGTAGGGGTACAGCATTGAATTTCTATTCTGAAGGTCATAGGTCCAAATCTTTGCAGTCTTTTTCAACTTTCCCAAACCACACTAGATCAATTACTGGTTGCAATATCAAGGAACAAGTCACCTGAAATGACTTAGAATACAAGTCCAGGGCCAGAGAAGGGGTTTGACATTAGCTGTTAACCTGCTGGAACCGAAAGTGATAAGCCTTTGCCAGCAGTATAGAGCCAGGCCAACCTGCACTGACCGTGAAGTCTGACCAAGCTCTATACTGTTTGGTAGCTCAATTTTTGTATATTGTTATTAAATTCCAATGGCTATAAATGAACTGTGCCAGGTTTAAAGATGGGCAAATCCATTTCACATTATGCAGGTTTAGTGTTGAAATGGGAAAACAAAATGTAACTTCCATCGGATATCATAACTATCTTCTAACTGCCATAATGGTATTAAAATTATGAACAATAGAGATACCATAAATAAAACCAAATGCATCAATTTTCTACCTCCATCCTTATGTAAACTTGTTTGTCAACATTTAAGGTCACATAAGTGAATAACCAAGTTGCAACATTATTATCATATTGTTTAAGAGATATCACTACATTGTTATTGATTAACAATATATACATGTACCAACACTTCAGATTTGACAGAAACTCCTCCCCCCACCCCCAAAAACATAAAAAACAATAGAGCTCATTATGAGGCTATCTTATTTTGTATTCCAATTTTAGTTACTTGTAACATGCATTATCTCATACTTTTCTTGGTAAATGATCCTGGAAGACCATTTTAATAAATTTGATGTCTCCAATGATCCTTGTGTTGAAACGGTGACGTCTTTTTCTCTGGCATTTCGCCAACGTAAGTTTTTATGTATATGAAATGACCTCCTAACTCTCCCAGAATGCAATAATAATCCTTAGCAACAGATTCTACTTATTTGATTATTAAAGCCGCCTTCAGCTTTTATTTTATTCTATTTTTAGATAAACTGTTTCAGCAAAAAAATTAAGGTGTAAAATGAAATTTGTCGTCAATAAAATACATAAACAATAAGGAAACCCCTCAATACCTCTAATCTTCTGGTCTGCTCTCTATTTGTATATTAGTAAAGTGGGTGATTCATTTCCCAATCTTCTAAGTTTAAACTATAAATAGCTCTTGGGACGCCATTTTGAAAAAGGCCTAAAAGTGCTATAGTGCACTTTTCAAAGATAAAATTACTGAAATACTAAGTTTGAAACAACACAGAATAGTTTTTCAAAAAAAAATAAAATCTGAAGTTCCGCCTTAACTAAGTGCAGACTAAAATCATCAAGCAGTCATCCTTGTCGTCTGATCAAAGTCTGTAAACTATTCACTCAGTGCATATTTTTGAAATTTTCCCTAAACTTGAGTAATGGTTTTGTCCAGATTGAATGACTGAAGAGTCCATTTATGATGTTTGGTGTGATAAGGCGTTAAGATGGACTATCATAAATGATATCCTGTGTTTGTCACACTATTGTTTACTGATACAATTTGAAATGAGTAATATTATACCTTTTAAGTTGTGGAAACACAATTGAAGTACATGTACAGTTGTAATTATCTTTAAAAAGTATTGTCTCCTTAAAGTGACCTATAAATTAGACAGCCTTTTCAATTTTAGTTATCAAGTTAGTTAATCAATTTTGATTAAACAAAAATCTTAAAAATACAGTTAAACCTAGAAAAATGGCCTTTTTACAAAAATGGCATCAGCTTTTTACAAAATAATTTTTTTCCAACAAATCAACCTCTCCAGAGCAACAACAACAACAACAACATTTGTCTCACATAGGGGGTTGATTTTTTGAAGCTGTACTGTAGTAATCATAAAACCAATTGTACTTCCTATAGTATATTGACTTATAATGACCCACTTTCATGTGATACATTACTTGTCAAAACATGTCATGATTTTTTTAAGTAACAAGTACTAGATATATATAGATCTGATAAATGATCATTTCTAGAGTGCTATTGGCTACACAACACAGTATAGGTTATATGGCGACTTTTAAGCTTTAATGGTGGAGGAAGACCTCAAATACCCTTCTGTGCATTATTTCAGGCACAAATAGGCACTTGAGTAGAAACCACCTTCGTTTCGTCAACAACCTTTAGCACTCGGCCACGACACCCCTTACATAATTAGATACATTTTAACATTTATCCACATCCTATGTGTGGGAAAACGCGTATCTACATGAACAACCAAATATCATATATTTACATCTCACTAGTGGGAAAATTGGTTTTTGAGACAAGGGTCAATTACGTAAGAGCTTAAACAGGTCATGAATTTGATAGACCTATTTTTTAGGGTCCATACTTTCAGTGCCTGGACTCTCATTTAAACCCTAGAATACACAGAGACTTATTTTTCCCAAAGTAATCTAACTTCACTATCCAACATTTCCCAATTTTATCATCATCATAATTATTACGAACCCAGTGATTTTTCTCAACTAATTGGAAAGAGGCCTTAGCCTCTTGATTTTGGGAAAAAATATCGCTAAAATTGCTGATTTGTGAAGTATAAAAGCTGGTTTAAGTTCAGATCTTTGGGAAAACTGCAAGATTTTAAAGAATATTTCAATTGGGAAGAGGTCTTTTTTTCCTCTTCTGTTATATAAGTAGTAAAATCACTGGAATTAAGATTGGGAAACAAGTAGTTATACACATGTAATGTTTATGTACTTAGGTATTAATCAGTTTTTTGAATACTGACCTGTGTATGAATCTCTCATGATGTCCACAGAATTGACCAGCTTCCCAGCAACAGCCTGGTTCAGTCCACCAAGCACAAGCTCCTGGATCTGTCCGGTACAGATTTTCAGACCTTTATGGGTCAGAATCTCTCCTTTTTCCGTAAAGTCAACACCTTAAATAATCAACAAATAAGATTCATATTCAAATAAGCTTTCAACATTGTAATTCTTTAAAGGCACATTATGCCTCAGAGATACATATTTATTAAATTCTTAAGAAATGTCAAAACATGTGTTTAATAATGTTCTAATAACGAATTTAGAGCATGTTATATGCTTAATAGCTGAGAAAAGTGGTTCTGAATGTGAAGTAATGTGTTGTCAAGGTAGCAAAATGTAAACAAAGTAGTAAATGTGCAGTAATGTGTTGTCAAGGTAGCAAAATGTAAATAAAGTAGTATTTTGACTTCCAAATAAAATACTTATTCACTATAATTATACCAATTGCCAACAGATAGTTCATGTATAATTATGGCAAAAAAGTATTTTTTCGAAATTGACACAAAATACCAAAAATACATGTTTTTGAGAAACAAAAAAATAAGAATTAAGATGGCATAATGGGCCTTTCAGGAAACTGATGAAAAAAACAACAATCCTGACCTTTGATATACATTGAGCAAAACAGAGTTATGGCCCTTGCCAACTAACATTGGATTTTACAGTAACACAAATACTTAAATTTACACAAGATTAACGTATTGTAAGTCTCTTAATTTTATAGAATCAGATCATAATTACACGATCTCGGGTTTTGTTCATGACATAACTATTGCTATGGTCCTTACCACCTTACATGCTACTTCTACACACTTTTAACAGTATATTATAAATAATTATATAATTTTGAATTGTTGAGGCCTTTTTAATGAAGTTAAGAATGTGTATGGTTAAAATTATTTGCCATACTTATTCAGGATTTAAAAAATCATGTTTTTATCCTTTTATTAATTCCCATTATGGAACAACAGCTTGGTGTTGGACATGGCCACCTGCTTTTGAATATGTTTTGGGTGAATTTACATAATTCATAGACATTTAGATAATTCAAATCAAAATTATCGATTTTTTCAAATGTGTATCGATTATTGATTGACAGAAAAATATCAAATACCAAGATCAGACAGCTCATGGTCTAAACTGTCCGCTATAACTCAGGTAGTATTTACTTCGAAAGATGGACCAGTTTAGATATATAGTATTGTAGTAAAGATTTATAAATGAAAGGTGCCTGTATTTAAAATGATTTATATTAGATACCAAAAAAAAAATGAAAAAAATAAAAATTATTCACAATTTCATAGCTTTTTCAAAATAATCACTGAGTGAATATAAACTAGGTTTTACTAACCAATAAACCACTTGCCCCTCATCGCTGTGGGTTTGAATCCCGACTGGGACTTTGGATTCTTTTATGTATGGAAGCTATCCAGCTAGCTTACAGAACGTTGGTGGTTCTACTCAGGTGCCCGTTCGTGCCTGAAATAATGCACGGAGGGGCACCTGAGGTCTTCCTCCACCAGTAAAGCTGGAACGTTGCCATATGACATATATTGTGTCGGTGTGATGTAAAACCTAAACCAAACAAACAAACAAAACTTACCAATAAAGTCATAATCATATGCCTTTTGAACCAGACTTGATTTACTGTCTTGAACAGTTCGTTCGATCATGTCCTTAATCTCATCACCTTTCTCAATCGCAATTTTCATTAACGATTTGAACAATTCCTCTTCTTTTTCCCGAGCGAATTCAATTTTCTTTGGTGTGATTAGCACTTCCCTCGCCATGTCAAACGCACAGATTATGAAAGTATTGAGACATCGTATATGAGTATTGTTTAACACAGTCACTGCGTTCACTAAGAAACGCTGCATTGTAAGTTCGGAAAAATTTGAGAAAGAATCTTGGAACTGTTTTAAGTCTGTTATTAATATACTATCTACCTCAAAATAGTCTTCCAGCATATTTCGACTGATATTTCTTACACCTGGTGTTTCTGTAAGATATCCAACCTTACAAAGTTCCATGAATATCTTTTGACAGATAGGCGGAGGTATTGACGTAGCAAACACTTTACCCATTCTGTGACTAGGGGAGGTAACTGTTGGTGTGGACGAGGGCTCGCTACTTGGTGTTGATGATTTGTTGGCATTTATCTTATCTATATCAGATTTGCCAGTTTCAAAATTGTTATCATTTCTGGGACTGTGATCGCCAGCATTTTGAATGCCTGATTTATCACATTTATCGTTCGATTTTGCACTGTCACTATTTGCTTGTGCATTTTCTGTCACTGTGTTATTATTGTTCTCCACTGTGGATAACACAGAATTATTCTGCGATGAGTGACCATCTCCTGGAAGTTTTTGACTGTGAACAACACCACAGAATGGATTTCCAGCTACAATATGCGGCATCACGTATGGATCTGGTACATGTACGAAGCAGATGGGCTGAAAATTGGTAATCTCCTTCAGTAACTCTAAGTCTTGAATCTCCTGTAATGAGAAAATGTTAGAAAATGTTAGAAAGACTGATTTGGTATTTTGATTACAACAATATCCCTTCTAACATTTAAATTGACAACAATCAATGGAATCAAATGACAGGGACTTTGAATATAAACATACATATGTATCAGGAAGCTCATATTGTCACCTTAGTGCAGTAACAGGTTAATTCAAGGAGTTAACCAGTTATTGCACTAAGGTGACGAATTCTGTGAAGCACTGCTTACCAGTAAGTTTTAGAAAGGTACAGTGTACATGGCACTTCTAACTGTATTGCGACAGATCATTGATTCAACAGTCACTGAGTACTGTTATGTTTTATTAAGAAAACTAAGCAATCAGATAGGATTGAAAGATCCCAACCCTAAGGTTGTTAGGATATCTCAGTCCACTATCTATCCTTAAGATAGATTCCAACAAATAAGTATTATATTAATAGTCCAAACACTAGAAGTATTACCTTGGTAGAAAATGATTCTGTGTGAAATGCATAGATTATAACTGGTGCTATGTTTTCAGTGCATCGTTTAAGCTCCTCCTCAAATGATATATTTGATGCGGCCACCACCAAAGTACATCCATACCTCAACAACTGATGATTGAATTTAACCTCTAGTACAGCCGATCCCATTGCAGAATCAGATTTGTCATTAACTGAGATCTCAAGATCTTTATGTGGAATGGTATTCCAGGGTCCTTTGTATGCTTCTAAGTTTTCTGCAAGAGCATACTCATCATCAGGTAGCTCTAGATTTATACAGAGATTTTCCCCATACTTAAATCTAACGGTGCGATACCGGTTATCATTGTCATTAGAATCAAAAGTTGGGAATATAGTTCTCTGAAATAATTCATTCACTATTCGAGACTTGCAATACTCATTCTGTCCGAGAACGACAATGCCTGGAAGTTTGTCAGCTGTAGACAGGATTTCTTCCTCCTCCTCATGGAGAACCTCAAGTGGCAAAAGTGGACCTGAAACAGAAGTTCTAATATATGTAGCTTTAATACTAATAATAACGATCTAGAGAAAGTAGAGTTAAACACAATTAGAAATATGTTTCTCTATAAGGTGCCAGTGATTTGTAACACAGCCCAGGGGTTAGCAATTCAAATGAATCACCTTTTAACCTTCAGCCTGTCCCAATGCAGTGGTTTTGATTGGTGTCAAAATATCAGGAGATATTTAAAACTTGCAGAGCAGGGCAATTTTAACCTTCAGCCTGTCCCAATGCAGTGGTTTTGATTGGTGTCAAAATATCAGGAGATATTTAAAACTTGCAGAGCAGGGCAATTTAGTCTGACAATTTTCAGGAGTCTGATAACGCAAAAGCTGAAGTTCCTTCTATTGGGTCTGAAGCTACAACTGACTGTTGCAAAAAAATATACATGTATTCCTGGAGATTGTCCTTGATGAGATACATGTTGTAGAATTGCATTCATCATATTCACAGATTTACAGACACTTCACCCCTCAGACACTTCATCCCAGACCATTTTTTGCAAACACTTCACCTCTCTTTTTATGAAAACTGATTGAGACACTTTACCACAATAATTGTTTGGCTTTGCCTTTTCATACAAATGAAGGTGAAACATGTAAAATGGAGTTAGTGATGAATAAAAATTAAATAATCATTCATCATTGTTTTGCCATATCTTTTATTGTATATTAAAGGTAGACCATATTAAATAGAGATATTGTTTCCTAAAAAGGCTCTTCCATAATAGTATTTTTGAAATAGCAAATAAATATGATCATTAATGTATTTTTTTTCTAATATATCATTAGAACATTTCAGTTGCCATGAAAGTTTGACTGATTAAAATATCTTATTTTATATGAGTCATATAAAGTGCATATCACACTGTATGAAAGTTCGTCTTAGATACATGATGATACTTTAATCCCTTTCACACTTCCTTTGTTCTTTAATTAACTGCACATTGATAGTTCTGCTCATGCTGAAAGTCAAGTTACACATATACAATTAATGTATTTGTCAGCAAGTATATACAATATAATTGTTTATTGATTTTTTTCCTATTTGCATGTCATCTTTAAATTGCCTTACATTTTTTTTAAATATAGTAATATATCAAACTTTTGAGTTGTATGTTAACTGTACATTGTCTTTAAAATAGCATTATGTTTGTTGTCATATATTGAAAGTTGTCATGTTGTACATTTGTATGTTAAAAATTCTTTAACACAATTTTTTTATGGTTTTGTATCATAAATATGATAAAAGCATTATTTATAAAGATATTACCAAATTTAACATTTCATGTAAATAAAAGGAAGTAATTAGAAATTTATTTTCTATAATAATAATATGAAAACTCCAGAAAACATCTTAAAGTATAAATTTATAAATAGAAGTGGCCAGTCGTACTGGCCTGTACGGCTAACCAAAAGTTCTAGCCGTATGTGAGTCACGTACGGCTAGCCAGGACACACTGTATTGGCTAGCCGTACCGCACTTTTTAAAATTACATGAAAGTCGAAAATGCACATGTTATTTTATGTTTTTAAGCGAGGATTTTAACCAAGAAACAGCAATTGTCTTCGTATGTTGACTTTTTAGAGATTAATCGCCATGTTGGCTACAGTAAAGAAAGCCCCGTAAAGAAAGTACTAATATCCTGATGGCGAAAATAAAAGAGCATTAGGTTGCAGTTGAATAGCGTCAGTTGAAATAGTTTTGGAAATTATGACAATAATCCTTTTTTGTTTCAATAAGTTTTATTTTCAACACCTTTAAAAATGAAAAAAGCACCGAAAATAATTGTTGTTGGGCTCTGATAATTGCGTCAATTACCCACAGTAGTTTGTCCATCATTAAGGAAAGTTTGCATGTTCCATGAAACGTTGTATGTGACTCACAAATGGCTAGAACTTTTGGCTAGCCGTGCAGGGTAATGTAACGAATCGCCACACTAACGATTCGCCACATAACGATTCGCCACAGAGTAATAACGATTCGCCACAGTTAAATAACGATTCGCCACGTGTTCAAATACAAACTTTTTCACACATGTTTTCAAATTGTTGATGGGATTTTTTTTCCATTTTATATTTCATTTGTTAATTACATAAATTAATTACACTGAATACAGCTTTTATTGAATAAAAAACACACGAAAACCAAATATTTTATTAACAAAATTACGTAACACATTTTATAACTTCGTTATTTATATAAACTGGAAAAATATACTAACAACTTTTATAGAATAAAAACGCATGAAAATAAATATATTTTTATTACCAAAATTACATCACACATTGTAGATGAGAAAACTTATAAATAACTGGAAAATTATACGAAAGCTTTTTTTTAAAATAAAGACACATAAATATTTCATTACTAAAATTACATTACACATTTTAAATAAGTTATTTATAGAAGAAGTAGAAACAGTTTATTTCGGTAACTTATACATTTACAGTATCTCGTTACATACAATAATTACAAATATAATAATTCTGTGGTCACATGACAAAAGTAAAGAAAAAAATAATAAGAAGAACATAAAAAGTTTTAACTGATGACATTCTAACGGAGAACAGACAGCTGCAAATAAAGGAACAAAGAACATCACAATTTCATTATCATTCATAGAAATAAAAAGTTCCAGTAAGAAGAAAAACACCAAAAAAACAGAAAAGACGTGACAATAATTTTATAACAGCGTCAAAAGTATAGTATTACATCACGGATGTAAATCCGTGATTACATGTATCTTTTTAAGTTGAAACAATTAACATTTCAAAATGTGTTATGAATTATCAACGGGTAGTAACAATTATTGTAGCTTTTTTATTAGCAGTAAGCTACATCTATATATTTTCCTAAATTTACAAGTATAGCTTTATTATCTGATTGTAGTAACTCTACTAATTTATACACATTTATATAACTAACATTATATATTATTACAAAATTTACATAAATAAGCTTAATTGCCGCATTGTTTTGAAATCTGCTCACATTGTCAGATAATTAAAGGATTAATTCGGCGTCAATTACATATTTCTACAACAAGCTTAAGGTGATTGGCTTATTAAAATTAAAGGTGTGACAAATGTTTAAGATATGCGTTCTTTAATCAATTATCGTAAATCAATTTTCGTAATGATCACATGTTTTTGCAATATTTTTTTTTAAATATTTGACATATATATAATATATGAAATATATATTTATATATATAAATATAAATTGACATTTATGTTTATGATAAATTCAATATTTATTTCAACATATAATTTCTTTCTTGTAAATGTACTCCTGTAATAATGTTACTTTGATAAATTGAAAATCCGCGATGGGGGCTTTAAGTTCATGTTACTTGTATTAAGAAACATTACTAAATTATTGTCATTGTGACTGATTGATTGTCAAATTATTAAAACAAAAGGAAAAAGTTTGTTGATAACTAAAAAAAAACATTGTTAGATCTATAATCATACTGTGGCGAATCGTTATTTAACTGTGGCGAATCGTTATTACTCTGTGGCGAATCGTTATGTGGCGAATCGTTAGTGTGGCAAATCGTTACTAATTCCCGTGCAGTCACATATGGCTAGGAATCCGATGGCTTGCCACTAGCTTTATTACAATGTAATTGTCTTTCATGTGATGTTTAATTTATTATGTGTATATAATTTTATATATATTGAAAACAGCCTGGAGTTAAGTATTAAATTTTATTATTTTATCAAAAAGTACTTACAATTAAAGAAAATCAACAAATAAAAGGTTTATTTTTGGTTGAAATATTAACTCTAAAAATTATAAGGGTTCAGAGGCGAGTGTCTTACTTATTTTGGGGGTGAATGACTTGATCCCTATTCACAAATAGGCAAACTAGTTGAAAACTTGAAATTGTTCCTGATTGCAAACTTTAACCATCTTATAATAAGACTTAAATATAACTTTTATAGTTAAAAGGAAAATAAGCTCACCATTTTCGTTTTTGCCACTTTCATTAATGTCATCAAAACATCGTTTTGTTTCTTCAAGAATGGCTTGCAACCTTTTAGAATGGTTACAGTAACGCTTTATCCCCGAAACTAATGTAGACGGCATTGTAAAGAAGTTGTCATTTCTTTAGTAAGTCATGGAAAGGTTGAAGTCCATCTGAAAATTCCCAACTTTTGTCGTTTTTCTTGTATCACTTCCGCCTTCGAAGGGACGCAACTCTTGTTGGACGGTGTTCAGGTAAATTTATCATTAAGCATGTGAATATTTAAATGTTTTGTTATGCATTACGTAAATGTTATCCAAAATAATATATAGAGATTCTGCAATCTTTTGTCATATTTATCACTTATAATGTGCTATTTTCATGTTTTTAATTGTTATAATTTATTTTGTGAAATTATAAATGTGGGGCATTCGGATAAAACATATTCGGACAATGTATCTATAGCCCTTCATTGCAATTTCGTTAAACAGTTAATACCAGAAGGTAGAATGATGAAAAATAAGCAGTCATACAAATATTTATCCTTCGTCATAATTATAATTGTACTATCATAATCATTAAAAAGTGAATATATCTAGTTTACAAATGAAATATAAAACGGTGTATAAAACACTAAAAAATGGCATTATCTTCCTCAAGTGAGTCTGGGACATAAGATAACTCAAGCAAGTACAGACTAGGTAAGCCATGTAATGTTTGTGACCAATTTACAGCTGATCAGTCTATGAAGGTAGAGTTTTAATCATATACATCATTGCAAAAGTTTAAAGTTAAACAATACAATGAATGAGTGATAAGTTTTATTAAAATCTGAAAATAGGTACAGAGCATTTAAATACCAAGGGACAAAATTTTACATCAGTTGGTTTATAGTTTTCTTATTTACTCTGATTGATATGGACAAAAAATAACTATGATTTATAAGGCAAAATTGAGGGAATGTGCCACTGGTTGGTACTGGTAGTCAAAATATATTGATGTGCCTAAGCTAGATTCTGAGATGTTTTTGTTCCTAGTCCAGAGTTCCAGATAACATGCGTATCGGCGTATTTTACGCTTCAAAATCAACTAAATACGCATAAGGTTATCAATTTGTTGCGTTTTTTTACGCACCCTGTAAATAAATTACGCAAGGATGGAAAATTTTCAGCGTTTTTGGTGTGTACTTTCATTTTCGAAACGGCTGATTCCACTTCTGTTAGACAGTTGACTGTGTATTGATTTTCCAATAATTTTCCACCAAGATACTTCAAACTATATTTCTTCCTGTAAACCAGTCTAATTACCTCTTCATTGTGTAGGCACTAAATGATGAAATATATTGTTCTATTTTCTTTATAATTGCAAGAGTTTATTGATAGGCGTAGGTCATGGTTGCTTCATGGCCGAAGCAGAGATAAATCAACAATTATTTTGACACAACTCAGTTGCATAAACCTTAGTGTATTTATACATAAATGTGAATCATAATACAAATTAACTAATACAATATGAAGGTGCTGTAAACATACAGAAAGTCAATTGACAGGTGATAATTTGCATTCGATATGTCATTGTGGCCGACAATGTAAAGTAAATCTTAAGAATATGTACATGATTTCAAGACCTTTGAATTAAAGTAAAATTCATGCTGAATATCTTCTAAATTTTAAATGGTCTTTTGGGGAAATACATAAAATACATTTATTTTATATGTTCCCCTTCTTTACCTAAGATGTTTTCAAAGAAACAAATTATTTTTTTACAAAAATGTGGTCTTTTGTCTTTTATTCTGTTTACTCTTTAATGAAAAATGAAATACCACTTAATCAGTTGAATGCTATTTAAGACTTGTAGAGATAAAATGGATCATATTTAGTGGCTAAGAAAAAAGTAAATATTTTGAAATGTATGCTGAGAGAAAGATACATATAATAAACTGAGTTAGGTGTGTTAATTTTAATGTAATAAAAGTATGGTGCATTTAAAAGATCGTGTGCTTTAATTTTACTCTGTACATTTTTGAAAAATTTAAATTTACCCCCACATTCTGAAAAGTGGGGGTAATTACCCCCAGTGTCAAAAAATTATCTGGAACTCTGCTAGTCTGAATCTCGCTTTTCTGGGTAAGAATCTAGTTTCTATAGGGGAGATATTGCCTATACACAAAATAGCACAATATTGTATTGATAAAATTAAAGTTAATTACCCTGTATAGTGAAATAAAGTAAACATTAATAGACAATTCCAAGTTAGCTGACAGGTACAAATTTTGTTATGTTAATAGCATTATCCTTTAACATTCAAAATGCTTTCATACTCATAGTGTTGTAACCAAATATGCCTTCAGTAAGTTAAATGTTCAAACTAACTTTACCATTGTAGGACAATTCTATTCTTTGTACCCGTTAGAAATTCTAACATGAATTTCAGCGAAATATATATGATGCAAACATTACATTATGATGTATGTATTAAAACATTCATTTGTTTCTAATTTTTTTTGTATGTCATGCATGTGAATAATCCTATTAATATATATAAAATGTACTGGCTGGCACTGATTAAAAATGTGTTATTCCTCATCAAATTTTGTGTTGTTATAATTTTCAAAATCAGGAAAATGAAGAAATACAGCACATTCTTATAAATTTGTTTAAGGTTTTTTTATAAATATTTTGAACTTTTGGGTTCCTGAACCATATTGCTATTTTGATAAATGCCAATGTATTTGGATAAATAAGATGTATCTAATATATTATATTTTCACAGATATCTGTTGATATGGCTACTAATCAGAGAGTTGAACTATTTTGGGACCTCAGGCGATACTTGAAGACAGAAAATGTTGAAATTGAAGGTCTAACAAAATCACAGTTACGAAACTGGTACGCCAATGAATACAAATCATACAAGCAACAAATTACACCGGACGAGAAACTTCCGACATTTTTCCTTATTATGCAGACAATGTATAAAATGAAACTTGCTCATTTCAATGATGATGTACTTGCACTGGGTCCATGTCCTCAGATGAAGAAAGAGAAGTCTCCGAACCAAAGTCCGAAGAAACATAAACACTTGAAACAAATGAAGACAAATGATAAAGGCGAGCTTCACAACAGTCAGCGGAGTGCGGCAGATAGATCCAAACAAAGGTTTGTGCAAATGTCAACTCCAAAGGGGGATGAGCAAGGACAAGTTGTGCAGCCTGCGGATGGGACAATGACATTAAATGGACGGACTAGTACCAGAAAACAATTGATGAATAGGCACAAAATGGCTGTAGACCAACATCTGACATTTAAATCTGGTCTTGATAAAGTTGTGAACCAGCCTGATTTTAAAGGTATGCACTCTGACTTGCCTATAAAACATAGACCATCAAGAAACCATAAGTTGGGATAGATTATTAGTGCATGATTTTGTTTTGAACGTGTAAACTTTTGTATTTCAATTTGTCAGTTAATATCCATATTGACAACATAGTTTTGTATAAATTTGATGTGGATATAATATATTTTGGAGTATACAAGACTGATTTCTTCACATGGGGTGATTAGAGAAGATTGTCATAAAAGTCTAACAATCAAAATAGACTATAAAGTAATTTTATTTGAAACATAAAGATAAAGTAAAAGTGAGGCTAGGGGGAAAGGAAAACTATAGATGTTATTGATCAATATGTTATGTATTTAAAATTTAATGAATCATCACCTTAGTGCAGTAACTGGTTAACTCCTAATATAATTTAATATAAGTTAACCCTTAACTGCACTAAGGTGACAACATATCAAATCCAATGTCAAAAAGCCTTGAAGGACCATTTGAAATACAGGTTTCATAATGATAAATATGATTTGTTTTTTCTGTTGTACGGTAGGTGATCCGACTGAATGGAAGTATATAGGAAAAACCGAGCGTGGTTATTACTGTACTCTCTGCCAGTCAAAGTTAACATCGAAACCTGATGCTGATAGGCATTTAGAAGGGAGGCGACACAGACTAGCTACGTCAATGAACATTATTAGATCTAAAAAGTAAATTTTTCACTTACTTAGTATAGTAGAAATTGTTTACTTAGTATAGTAGAAATTGTATTTGAATACTGTGTGTATATTCAAAATATGTTTTATGTTACATTTCAAAAGAGACAGTATTCTGTATAGTAATGATCAGTTTTTCTCAAATACCAAATTTCAGCATAATATACCTTTTAAGAAATGGCTTTTGTATGCCGAATGTATGTTTTTAGCTTTATATAAGATGTGACTCTTATCATCAAAATATTGGTATTATGCCAGAAAAAAGAAAATGAAGTTGTTAAATTATCATATTTGTATTATTTTCACATACATTTCATGAGAACAATACTAAATAAAGTACAACATGTCAGATATGTTTACATAAATTTTCATATCTATTATAAGCAGAACAGTATTTTGTGACATAAAACCCAACAAAGAAATGAGCCGTGTCAGACAAAACCAACATAGTGCGTTTGCGTTCAGCATGAATCCAGACCAGCCTGCACATCCGCACAGTCTGATCAGGATCCATGCTGTTCGCTTACCAACCCTATTACAAGTAGAGAAACTGATACCGAACAGCATGGATCCTGATCAGACTGTGCAGATGCGCAGGCTGGTCTGGATCCATGCTGGTCGCAAACACACTATGTTGGTGTTGTTGTGACGCGGCTCAAATGTAATCTTGCAACAAAATATTGGAATATGATATTTGTTACAGAGACAAGCTGGTAGAAGGGTCCCCAACCATTACAGTCACTGCAGATGTAGAGGAGAAGGATGGTACATATTTTATACACACGGAGGAAAATGAAGTTAAGGTAAGGATCAGTTTGAAGCTGCTGTGCGGCCCTATTTGACCGAGTGGTTAAGGTGGTTGATTTTAATTAACTTGAATCATGGCAGGATAAGACTTTTATATAAATTTGATGAGGTATTGGACATAAACCGGACAACCATGAAACTTGGACGGCCAAGAACATTCCTAATAAAAGTTTTTTCTTTGTTGGGTGGTTGTCAATAAATTGGTTGCTTTTTTACCAACAATAAATGCATGTTTCTTCTGTAAATAAGTAATTAAATTTATATCAACAATCGTAAACAGTAATATTTTAATGTCTATTTCAAGAACGTTGACATTGAAAATTTGGACATCAAAAGTGCAATACCTGACCTCTTATAATAGCTATGATGATTTGTAGAGTAAGCAATAGAATATCAAAAACTTCAGCATATGCTGCTGAAATATTGTATATCGAGTTAGAAATAAAAAAATTAAAACACCCAAGCTTTATCTGGATTAATAATTGTCATATACATATCTGTCTGGACACATAGTAATGTAGTGTAGACAATTTAGGTAATTTTCATACCCTCCTCAACAGATCTCAAATATAACAGACCTACATGTAGGAGTTAACCCATTACTGCACTAAGATGATGATTTATCTGTTGTTATAATGATAACTCTTATTATAGCCACAAAAATTTCACAAAGACAATCATATCCTTGTTTTATGAATACAGATCCCAAATTATCTGTATGTAACTTTCAATACATACAATATATCTTATTTTTAGATGGTTGAAATTGTATTAACAAATAAAGGAGACATGGAAGTGGAGCTGGCCCATTGTGAGATGATGAAAAAAGTCAGAGTATTTACCTTACGCGATAATAAAAAAGTCACAGATGGAATGGGGACTGTTAAATTAATCCCAGGTAAGTCTATTAATAATGTACCAAAATCTTTGCAAAATCACGTTAGATTACACTATTTTCATTAGTTCTTGCTTTGTAGCCTGTTTAGCATAATAGGGAGAAAATTGGATTAGTAATCCAGCTGGCTCGATCCTCTGCTGAAGTAAATAATAGAAAAAATGTGACAATTCATCTGAGACATAGAGTTTGTCATTTTTTGTCTCTCACCACCGTCACAGAAATCATGCGAGATAAGTAGTCTGTCACTTGTAGAAAAATTGAGAATTACTGGTTAGTTAGCCAGGATTGGACTGACCATTGACAAAAAATGTGTTGAAATAAATCAGATAAACTAGGATATTATTGAATACATGCAATTGTTAAATAAATGTTATTAATATGTGATTTCCCATATGTTGAAAGCCTCTTATTTCATTTAATTTGGGCCACTGATTAAAGTGATTCATTAGAAGATTGCCAGACTTTATATGGTTGGCTGTATTATTGAAGCTCATTTAAACTACAATGGACAATTACAAATTCAGTATAGGGCAGGTCCAATTTATACAAATAAAGCAATGGAATGTTCAATGAACTTACAAAAAAAAGATGAATCTGTTAATTTTGATTAACTGCCAATTTAAGTTAATCTTTAAGTTTGTGCATATTCAAATCTTTAACCATAATAAACACAATTTTGTTGTAGGTGATTCATACAAAATACAAGTACGAACACATGCACTACATGTGGGTAACCACCACTGCCCACTTATGTTTCATTTTGTACAAAAGATTGATGGTAGGAAACAAAATGTTAAATATTTTCGTTTATCTAAAACTGCAAGTGTAAAAAAAACCTCATAGATAAAATGAAACCCAACGCCCAAGAAAAAGCCCACCAAAGAAAATTAAACCCAAAAGGGACCGGGCAACTAAAATTGGGGCCGGGTTAAAAAACTTCCAAGGATATAAAACCCTCAATACTAGAGGGAATTTTATTGTAAAAATTGTTTTACTTTGTTTAATTCTAACCCTACGGGAACCCAAAAAAATGAAAAACCCTTTTTTTCCCCAGTAGTAAGGTTTCCAGGAAAGGTCTCCCCTTTATATGCAGTCTGCCAGGCCTCCCACATGCTGGTATCTTTTTAAAAGGAAATTCCACTGAGACTTTTTTGACATGGCAGATTTAAAAAATTTTTTTTTCAGAGGTTTTGTATCAATTGAAGTAGGTCTGGACCAGTTATTTGTGTTATTCCCTCTCTTTGTTTTATCCAGAATGATCATTTTTATAATATAAAAGGACCCAAAGTTGAATAGCATTGCAATGCTTTTTGCTCAAAATTGGCTAAGAATTGTATAAAAATCTATTTCCAATTCACTTTTGAGTATACTTCTTTGGCATCATTTTGTTCAGATTTTGTGCAGATTTGTCCATTTTAAGTGTTTCACTTGATATTCGTTAGATTTTGAAATATTATGTTTCATATTATGCATTTGATCCCAGTGGAGTTCTTTTAAATTAAGCTAGTCTGTATTGAAGGAAAAGTCAAGCTTTCATGATTGCTGCAGCATCATTGTCATTGCTGTCATGGTTGTCGTCATTCAAAAATTTTATGTTGTCTGAAGGCTTAAGGTTAATCTTTATATATCTATAATTGTTAGAAAATATTGCTAGTTGGAAATGTCTCTTTTAACTTGACATTTAAGATATAACCTAAGAACAGAGCCTGTGAAATAGTTGTAAGATTGACTTTTCATTCATCATTGTATTCATGATTTGAGCCATGCCATGACAAAACCAAGATAATGGGTTTGCGACCAGCATGGATCCAGACCAGCCTGCGCATCCGCGCAGTCTGATCAAGATCCATGCTGTTTGCTATCAGTTTCTCTAATTGTTATAGGGTTTGTAAGTGAACAGCATGGATCCTGATCAGACTGCGTGGATGCGCAGGCTGGTCTGGATCCATGCTGGTCGCAAACGCACTATGTTGGTTTTGTTGTGACACGGCTCATTTTCTTTTTGTTTTCCTTGCCACAGTTTGACTGGAGATTATTTAGAAAGAGACATAGAATTACAAGGGTTCACTGTGCCTCAAAATGTTCGGAAAATGATAAATCGAGGACTCACTGAACAACACGGCCTAACAGCTGGAGAGATTTCTGAAATGATAAATCTCAGGTGAAGTAGAATTTATTAAAATCTTTTTCTTTTCTTTTTCTTTTAAATTTTTTATTTATGATGTAATTTTAAATTCTACGTGCTTAGTTCAAAAGGGAGAGCATCAGATTTGTAATTGATGGGTAGCTGGTTTGATCCTTGAGCCAGGTATTATATCTCCGTGACACTAACTGTTGATCTCAGATTTTGAGTCTAATGTTCATTTGTATCTTGTAGCTGATTTAGAAATGGTGTGGGATATGTAGTCAATCAGTTTTGAAGAAATTGATAATTAAGGTGGTAAATTTCTCAGGAAAGCTGTTTTGGTGGACTGACAGCCAAGTTATGATCAAAAATACATTTTAAAATCAGGGTAAAAACCAAGCACAAACAAAATGTAATTTTAAAACTATTTGAAGTTAGTAATGGCAGTATAACCAGACAGTGTTTCACCCAAGATTATGAAACTTGCTTCAAGGTGAATGTTCCAATTTCTAAAATTAGAAATGGGTTTCTACTTAGTACTTAATTTTAAATATATATTCTTCTTTTAGGTCCATTCTTGATCAAGAGTTGGTCATGAGCCATTACCAGCAAAGATTTAGAAATCTACTCTTCTTTGAGGAGGTACAAATGGAGGTAGATATAAGGAAGTATGATATGGAGGATGTTCCGTTAAGAACTTTCAGTTCTAACAGCAGATTACTTCTTCTAGAGGTAACAATAATTCTAAAGTCTTTGATATAATTAATTTCTCAATGCATATTTCACTCCCAGTCTACTGATAACTAAATTTATCCATGTGACCTGCGAAAATCTGTGTATATTTGAATTTATTTATACCGGTTGCCCATATGGGCTATCCCCAAAAAATTTATTAGTCATTTTATTTTGGGAAAGGATACAGAAAAGGGAAAAGACCCCCAAAATTCCAAAAGCTTCACCGGGTTTTCTTTAACTTTGAAAAAGTTTTTTAAAGCACTTAAAATTTGGGACCTTGATTTAAAGTCTCTTTGGGAAAGATTGTTTTTATTTAATTTTTGGGTTTTCCACCCGGGGGGAATTGAACCCCCCAATTTTGGTTTACAATCTCGCGCTCTAACCGATTGTGCGATGTGGAGACATTTGTGCTGTTTATTCATGGTCACCCACGGGATGGCTATTCATCAGTTTATTTTAAAATTTTTTTTCCTTAAAAATGTTTAAAGGGTTTTTGTCCTTTTTGAAGTTTGAAAAAGCCATTTTTTTAATTTAAAATGGGAAAAGATTAACTGTAAAATTTTAAAAAATGTATGTGTAAGTCAGCCGAAAGATGCAGAAGTTAAACTCATGTGAAAAAGGGTGGGGGTGTTATTATTTTTCACTCAATCAGGGCGAAGCCACATAAAATTTTCCACAGCACACTCGGGCCACTGCACCCTTTTCTTGGGGGCTTTTCACAGTTTTCCGTACTAGTTGCCTTCTCAAGGACTAAGATTTTTTAACAAATTACCCAAAAATTTTGGAAAAACATTTAGATTGTTTTTAAAATCTGGGTTTAAAATTTACATATTAAATTTTGTTAAGAAAGTTGAAATTGTTTTGTTTATTAGATTTTTTTTTGTGTGGGAAATGCATTAGGGATTCCTTAATTGGATTAATTTTTTCCGGGTTTACCGGGACAAATCTGAGAACCGACCATCTGTGTTAAGAGGAGATTGGTTATTTGTGAGTCTGTGTGACTCAGAAGGACATGGAAGTAAGAAGGAATACCAAGGATATGTCCATGAAGTTCTACAGAATGAAGTGGCTTTAGGATTTAGTCAAAGGTTTGAATTATTCCCACTTATGCTATATCTATTTTGTGTATTTCATTTAGGGTTTTGATCAAAATTCAGACTGTAGGGACAATAAAGACTCTCCTCTCTTACATTTCTAGAAGTTCTCTAACTTTTCAGATGTTAAGTAATCGATGTAATGTGTGAAGGTTTTTCTTTCATGCAGTATAAGTTAAATTTACTTGGAATTGATAGTAAAAAAGTGTATGTCCTACTTAATTGGTTAGTTGCATATTTCAGTGTATCAAAAACTGTTTGAAGTTTCAGCTTAATAAAAATTACTTGAACATCCATGTCTTTTTAACAATTTTCATAATTTGCTACCTATATAAGGAAACATGTTGACTTTAGCTCTAAATCTGCTTTCTTTTGTTATCATTATAGATTTAGGCCAGCCTGTACATCCCGCAGTCTGACCAGGCTCTATACTTTTGGCTTACTAACTTTAAATTCTCCTTTTGAAATCTCAAGAATTGATTGTAGACTTGTAGAATGTTTTAAAAATGGACGCTAGACAATTTCATTAAAAAAATTCTTCAGGTGAAGGGCTAGTCAAGCAGAAAATAACCACATATGAGCCCCGTCACGTTAAACCAACATAATGGGTTTGCGACCAGCATGGATCCAGACCAGCCTGCGCTTCCGCGCAGTCTGATCACGATTCATGCTGTTCGCTATCTGTTTCTCTACTTGAAATAGAGTTGGTAAGGGAACAGCATGGATCCTGATCAGACTGCGCGGATGCGCAGGCTGGTCTGGATCCATGTTTGGTCGCAAACGCACTATGTTGTTTTGTCGTGACGCGGCTCATATAATAATCATCTGACAATTACCTCAGTTTATGTTCAGTTTCAGGGAATCGTTTATTGAGAAAGAGAGGTTCAATGTCAGGTTTATATTCAACCGACTTCCGACCCGCCTTCAGCACCGAGCTTGTCAACTTGCGTGTGAGCTCAGTCTCGGAGATATTCTCTTTCCTCAGGAAAATAGACTCCGAAATTATGTAGAGCTTCCAGATTTGAAGTAAGATTTAGTATATCAGTGCCATATATATCCGTGGCGGAGTGGTTAAGTTTGTTGACTTCAGAGCCCATGCCCCTCACTGCTGAGGGTTTGAATCCCGACTTGGAGTTTGGATTCTTTCATGTGAGGAAGCTATTCAGCTAGCTTATAGAACGTCAGTGGTTCTACTCGGGTGCCTGTTCCTGCCTGAAATTATGCACGGGCCGGAACCTGAGGTCGTCAGCCACCACTAAAGCTGGACCGTCCCCATATGACCTAAACTGTGTCGATGTGATGTAAAACACAATCATACAAACACAGTGCCCTTGTATAATATTTTAGTTCTTGAATGTTTCCTTTTATTCTTGTCTATTGTAATTATTAAGACTGCACATTCCTGGATTCAACTAACTGTTTAGGAAATTTTATGAATTATTTTTCAATTCACAACAATGTTTTCAAGGGTACAAATACTGTTATTTAAACCTAATCCAGGGCACTTTCTTCCACACCAAAGAGGAATAACATTTTATATGTCAAAATATCCAACTCAATAAATATTATTCAGTAATAGTCATTACTCTATTAGAAGTGCATTAGAGGTGTGTAAATTCTGTCAAATTTTGCATGAAACATACAGGCCAGACGTATCCCTTGGATGGTAAATATATGATTTCTGATAATTTAGATTATTCAATCAAGACCTAGAAAAGAACAAGCAACAGAAATGTGCCGTCCAGCATATAGTAGCCGGAACATCTAAACCTGCTCCCTACCTTGTGTTCGGTCCACCCGGAACCGGTAAAACTGTGACCATAGTCGAAGCAATCAAACAGGTAATGAAAAATAGTCAAATTACTAATTCATTTTGAATGAAAGATTTTCTAGGAGTTTATCTTTTGAAACTAAAATTACTGAATAAAGATAATATTTTTCTTCTCTGTATATGTAAGGAAGATAAGATTCAGGTATCCCCTCATGCTTTAAATACTGTGAATTCACGTAATTTCGTGGGCATGAAATTTCGTGGTTTTGTCTCAACATTTTCGAGCTCTTGAATTCGTGGACATTTTATTTTTTGTTGCATATACTATATTGTTTGTATATGTATCAGAATAATTCTATGTCCATGTTTACTATATTATTTGCAGAGTCTTAGGATATAATAGAGGATATAATAAAGTTAAAATATGAAGTTGCTATTATTTTTTCAAGTTATAAATTAATTGTGAAGAAAAAAAGAAAGATGAGTTAACAGCCAAGTAATGATTTTTTTAGTCACTGGTAAATTTTGGACACTATTTTTGAGGAGACTTAGAAATTTTTGCTTTTATGAATAGGTCTGTTTACTGAACTTAATTTAAAGAAGGAAATAAATGCTTGAATACTGGTTGTTACCACAGTGTTAATTTCCTAGAAGGAAATTAAATTGTTGTTATTGTTCTTAGCAGTAATTAGGTGAAGAAAAGAATATGTCAATAAGTGTAAAATAGTTATTAGGAAAAGGAGAAAAAAAGGCAATTAGTATAAAATGGTAACTAGGGAAATAAATAAGATGGCAATTGGTATAAAATGGTAATTAGGAAAATAAATGGCAATAAGTATATAATGATAGTAAGGGAAAGAATTTAAAATGGCAATTGGTATGTATTCTATAATGGTAATGAGTGAAAGACACTTAAATTAGGGAAATTAAATAGAATGGTAATAAGTTATTAATGGTAATAAGGGAAATAAGATAAAATGGCAGTTAGTATAAAATGATAATAAGTGAGAGAAATAAAAAATGTCATAACATTGTAGATATGGAAATGTTCATCTGCGACTAACATCCTGGCATGTACACCATCAAATAGTGCCGCTGATCTGATAGCTAAGAGGTTAATACAGCACATTCCTAAAGCAGAGGTTCTACGACTGAATGCCGCATCTAGGTCATGGGCAGCTGTCCCCGAGGAAATCAAGGTAATCTGAATGAGGGCGGGTTTTATTTATGACAAGTATATGTGTAATATGTTAGCTGGGTACAAAATGTGTGTAAATTATTCTTTATTTTATACCATTTTCAACATTAATACACTATTTTTCATCAATTCCTCAAACATGAACAGGATACTTAAATAAGCTGTATAGTTGTTGATCTGTAACCCACATCGTAGGACTTAAGTTTTAACTTGGTTAAGTTTAAACTTGGTCATGGCACATTTTCCATGACAAACACATGCTGCTGGCCATGTGAGGAAGTTGTCCATAAACTCCATATAGCTTATGGAATAAAAAATTGTTTTAATCAGGTGTCTGTTTTTGCCTGAAATAGGGCATGGAAGAGCACTTTAGGTCTTACTCCAAATTTTTTCCCAGCTCCCAACCCAAACCCCCCCAAAAAACATATCTATACTTGTGCTGACAGATAACAAAATTTAGGCATTTTCTTTATACAAATTTGTGAATTTTCAGTGTGTATGCAACTTCAATAAGGAGACTCGCCATTTTTACTACCCTAGAAAGTCTGATCTACAGAAGTATAGAATCATCATTAGTACACTGGTGACTGCTGGAAGGTTTGTACTTTTATGTTTTAATCAATGTGATTAAATCAATCTATGAAAGGCATGCAACATAATTTTGGCAATGTCCATATACAGTCCAGCTTTTTGAAATGAAGACAATGAAACCACAAAAATATTTGTATGCATGTAGTTTGTGATATTGAGAGTGACTGTTGACGATATAAAGACAGGTTTTGTCACCAGGTCAGGCCAGCCTGTTTGTTCTTCTGCACAGTGTGACTATACTCTTTTACTGTCAGCTGATCTATTTTTAGCTTTTTGATATTGAAGACTCCCTTAAATAACAATGGACAATTCTACATTCAATACAGGACAAGCTCATACAGTTAACTGCTTTTATAATAATGAGTACGTATACCATATTTACTCACATAAAATACAGATAGCTCATAAGACAGGTGTGCTAATTTTACTAAAAACAGCAGTAGAATAGATATACCATAGTTCAGGTGCCTGACTGGTTCAGGATGCTGACTTAGAACTTCTTTACCTTTAAAACTATTGGTTTGAATCTGTCAAGGGGCTTAGAACAATTTGATGCAAGGAAGCTTTTAAATCTGGCTTTGTCATTGCTCATTTTCCATAACAGTGTTGCTGGCCGTATGAGGAAGCTATCCAGATAGATTATGGAATTAAAATTGTTTTAATCAGGTGCCTGCCTGTGCCTGAAATAATGCAGGGAGAGACACTCGCGGTACTGTTATTTTTTTTATACAAAAGCAAGAAAGTAGTCATATGATCTTACCATTAAAACTGTGTCAGAAAAATCTAGGTCATCACATTCAGATATTTTCATTTTATGTAAATATCTTCTTCATGGCTGTCTTAAAGTAATACTTACCATAGTTTTGTTTACGCATGTTGTTTATGCAATGTATATTGTAGTATGCATACTAAATATTGTAGGAGTACATATAAGTTTGAACCATGATCAACTTCCTGTAAGGGTCATTTTTAAATTTCATGTTTTGTTAAGATGTTAATATTCACTAAATATTAATGCAAATTAACCTTGTTCAGTTGAAAGACTGCCTTTTCAGTTATGCATATTGTTTCATAGCTTCACTGTTACTAATTATGCATGAGTTTTTATGACAGGAATAAGGGACCAGTCTGGTCAAATTCAAATCTGCTTTTTTATCAACCAATGAAATTTTGGAGATATTGACTGGTCCTCAAACTGTAGTTACATGATAAATGCATGTCTCTTTGCGACTTATATTAACTCAACATTTTTAGATGGGCTTTTAATTATTTATTTCTAATATTAATAATGTGTTATAACTGCGTGAGCATATAAGTTATTTTGTTGTTTTCATTTCTGTTTGTTTATGTTTAATACAAATAAATCCATGTGGCTTTAGGACATAGCAAGTATAATGGAATACATGTAAGTTAATCAGGCTTTTAGGACATAGCAAGTATAATGTAATACATGTGAGTCTATCAGGCTTTTAGGACATAACAAGTATAAAAGTATAATGCAATACATGTAAGACTTTCAGGCTTTTAGGACATAACAAGTATAAAAGTATAAATGTAAAATCTATCAGGCTTTTAGGACATAGCAAGTAAAATGCTATACATGTAAAGTCTTTCAGGCTTTTAGGAAATAGCAAGTATAATGCTATACATGTAATGTCTATCAGGCTTTTGGGACAAGGCAAGTATAATGCAATGTATAAAGTATTGCCAAAAGAATGAATTTTGAATCCTCAAGGAGGTGACTGTTAAGAACTTATTTGATTATGTTGTGTGAAAGCACACAAATGGACTTAATAGCCATACGGTGGCTTTCTTATGGTGTTATATTATTGGTAAAACATTTCAGTAATGTTATATTAGACTAAATTATTATCCCATCTGTTTTATATTTGGTTTGAAATACCATAATACAAGAACGCCTTTTCAATATTTATTTCCATGAATTGATAAAGCCTAGGTCACAAATAAGAAAATGCCGCCGGGCGGCGTCTGTTTCTCCAAAAAATCGCAATATCGGCCGGGGTCCGTCCGGCGGCAGTGACTATCGGACGGCAGCAGCTGAAAATTTTGTGAATCGGGCGGGCGCCTTCGAGTTTTAAGTACTACTTAAAAGCTAACGGCGGCTGGACGATAATTTTTGGGGTCCCTGAGTATAAATATCATCGAGCGGACATCGTTGGGTCGCCGGGCGGCGACCGGGCGATTGATTTTTTGATCGGGCGATTTTTTGTTCTACTAAAACAGCGTCCGATTTAAAAGGCGTCCGGGCGGACATCGGCCGGGCCCCGCCCGGTGCCTGAATAGAGCTAAGTAGTCAAACGATTATCGCCCGGTACCCGAACGATTCATGTACAGGCACCAGGCGGTCATCGTTTTCATTAATTGCCTCAACAATATATTTGTGAATTTCTTTTGAATACTAGTAATGTCCATGCGAATGTCTGATTGATTTTCGCCTTCTACGGCCTTGATACTGGCCGTTGGTGACTCCCCTATGCTTTGGCAGCTGACTTCTTTGCTGGCATAATTACAACTGCCTGAATTATCTAGGATGTCATTAAATGTAAAGTCATTGTCGCCCGGCGCCCGTCGAACCGTCCGATTCATTTTTAAATCACACAGGCGCCGTACGGACATCGGGCGGTGACCGCCCGATCCGTTCAATTCTTTCTGTAAAATCCACTCGGCAAAAATCGCCCGACGACTGTTTAATTTATGACCACGCAATGTATCAGATTTAAAATCGCCCGGCGTCCACGACTTCAAAAAATCTGCCGATTTTATAAAAATCGTTTAATCGGACGGCGCCCATTTTATTTGTGACCTAGGCATAAGACAGATTTATCAAGTGAATCATAACACTGTTACTTATCAAAGACTTGTGGAAATTGAATGATTTGTGGCTGGTAATTTTGAATCATGAAAAGATTATATTTATTACACTTTCAGACTAGCCTCGGCAAACTTTCCATCAGGACATTTCAGTCATGTTTTTATTGACGAGGCTGGACACGCCCCTGAGCCCGAGTCTCTGATAGCTCTAGCAGGAATCATGGAGGTAAACCCAGCTCTTCAATGTGGAGGTCAGGTTGTGATAGCAGGTGACCCGAAACAGCTCGGACCAATCCTTAGGTCGCCACTTGCCATAAAATATGGTTTAGGTAGGTTAACATGACTTTTTCGTGGCTGAAACTGTTTTGTAATGCCCCTACTACTTGGGGCATATAGAGATGCCCTTGTTCTTCTGTCTAACTGTCTTGTTGTCCATAGACTAACAAAACAATGGAATGTTGGGGCAGTGCTAGGTTATATACACTTTACAATAAATTCCTGTTATAACATGAAATAGTTTTCCATATTAATTTAAAAACAAAATCATTTAATAAGCTTATATAGAGGATATTTGTTTAGTTCAGTGTAAGATCGAAATATATTTCACCGAGTGAGCACCAAAAGGTATATTTCACTCGTGGCTGCGCCACTCGTGAAATATGAACTTTTGGTGTTCACGAGGTGAAATATATTTTGATCTTACACTAAACTAAACAAATTTTCTTTTTATTATATGCAAAGAAACGTTTAAAAAGACATCTAAGCATAGTACTAAATGAAAAGGGCGCCAAATAATAATACAATCATTAAGTTGGTTTCCATTATTGTGAACGCTTGTATTTCACTGAAACAACGTACCGGGCTCAAATATTCAAAACAGTGAAATTATGAAACTTTAATGATTCATATATATAGAAATATGTGTACTTCTTGTTAATTTTGAATTATTATAATACCAATAAATTCAATTTTGAATGATTATAATACCAATAAATTAAAAAATATTTAAAAAAAAAAAATTTCCAATTAAAAGGTGTGTTCCTAATTACAATTTTTCTTTAGAATATCATATTTGAAATACAATATGTTGAAATACATTTTGGGATTCTTAATATTAGTTACTTATAACATATCAACTTTTATACGTACTTGAATTGTTATATCTTATCTTTGTTACCAGACATATCTTTATTGGAACGCTACATGGAGTCATGTGAGCTATACTCGCCATGCAGTGATGATGACGGTCACAAAAGTTACGACGTACGTGTTATAACAAAACTTCTGAATAACTACAGATCTCATCCTGCCATCTTGAAACTTCCCAACGAAATATTCTACGATAGTGAACTGATTCCTTGTGCTGGGATTGACAGAGAGAAGCTATGTGAGTAGATATCAGGGTATTGGCCAGAACTTTTAAACTTAGGTTAAGCAATTTGAGTCGCATGTTATTAATAGTCATTCTTGAAAGAAAAAGGACAAGCCTAGCGTCTTTGGATTATTTTATGTGAGAGAGCTATTTAGCTACCTTATGGAATGTCAATGGTTTTACTCAGGTGCCTGTTTGTGCCTGAAATAATGCACAGAAGGGCACCTGAGGTCTTCCTCCACCAGTAAAGCTTGAAAGTCGCCGTATGACCTATACAGTGTTAGTGAAATGTAAACCCCAATAAAAATAAAGCTAGGCAGTAGCCTATCTAGTTTTCCTGGATTCTTCCAGGGCCTTTTGAAAGAGACCTTTTCTTTAGATTTTTTGGAAAAATATACACAACATACCGGTAGTTATTATTTAAAGTTATATTTGCTAAAATTTGATATTTTAAAATATTGAAAAATGCTACACCATCTCTTTGTAAATGTTTCAACTTCACACAAAGTATATATGTTATGTTTAAAACTCTTCAAAATGTGGGAGGCCACAATGTGAATACGAACATGTTAAGAAAGGACCATTTTACCTGTAATAGGGAATACAGCTTCCCGTACATAGTTTGCCAAAGAACCTATATGTGTCTTTATAAATTGGAAACAGTAGAAATACTTGATTGAATGTAAGTATAAAAACATACTTTGATTACTATAGGTAGATGGGAAGGTTTACCAAAACCAGGGTTTCCCTTGGTATTTCATGGAATTGTTGGGGAGGATATGAGAGAAGAAAGAAGTCCATCATTCTTTAATGCGCAGGAGGTGGCCATAGTTGTGCAATATGTTGAAGAGTTGATGACCTGTAGGAAAGGTGGAATAAATCTGAAACAAAGTGATATAGGAGTGATCTCCCCTTATAGAAAGCAGGTACAGTGAACTTCATCTGTTAAACCTTTAAAAGAAAAAAGAACTTAATTTAAAGTACGCATATGGCTTAAAGCAGCATGCCTCCAGAATAGCTAATTTTCATAAAAATTATAAGAATATATTAAAATTTAAAATATTGTAAAGTGAACAAAGAAAATTATTTACAGATTGCCAACAGCACTAGCAATCCATGTAAATTACCAAAAAGAGGTTACAATAAGCAAAAATAGCCCTTACTGTATTAGGAATGCAGAAGAAATATGGTAAAAAATTAACTGCAAAATTAGTTTTTAATCATATATAACATATAAATTATTATAAAAGCACTTGTGAATTGATGATTATGAAAATGATTTATTTTCATGTTTTAGGTTCAGAAGATACAGCAAGTGTTGAGGAGGAAACGATATGATAAAATATCTGTGGGTTCAGTAGAAGAATTTCAAGGTCAAGAGCGAACTGTGATAATTGTTTCAACCGTCCGAAGTAAACCAGAGTACATGTCATTTGATATGCAGTTTCAACTGGGATTTTTGAGAAATCCAAAGGTATTTGTTTTGTGTTATCAAGAAACATAATCCAGAGGTAGCACTGATTATAATGGCTTTGTTTTTTTTATTATGCCCCCGCCATGTAATGGCCGGGGCATATAGTGTTACCCTGTTCCATCCTTCCGTCATTCTGTCATTCCGTCATCGTTTCCGTTCATTATCTTAGTAACGGTTGCACACATTCAACTCAAATTTGACATATGGATATGTCATGAGAAAATACAGGTCAAGTTCGAATTTGGTCATGGTTTGATGATTTTTGGCAGAGTTATGCCCCTTTGACTTTAAAATAATATGAAATTTTCAGTTTCCGTTCATTATCTCCCCAATGGTACAACACATTCAACTCAAACTTGACATATGGATATGTCATGAGAAAATACAGGTCAAGTTCGAATTTGGTCATGGTTCGATGATTTTTGGCAGAGTTATGCCCCTTTTACTTTGAAAATAATATGAAATTTTCAGTTTCCGTTCATTATCTCCCCAACAGTACAACACATTCAACTCAAATTTTACATATGGATATGTCGTGAGAAAATACAGGTCAAGTTCGAATTTGGTCATGGTTCAATGATTTTATGCCCCTTTCACTTTGGAAATAATATGAAATTTTCAGTTTCCGTTCATTATCTCCCCAATGGTACAACACATTCAACTCAAATTTTACATATGGATATGTCGTGAGAAAATACAGGTCAAGTTCAAATTTGGTCATGGTTCAATGATTTTATGCCCCTTTTACTTTGAAAATAATATGAAATTTTCAGTTTCCGTTCATTATCTCCCCAACAGTACAACACATTCAACTCAAATTTTACATATGGATATGTCGTGAGAAAATACAGGTCAAGTTCGAATTTGGTCATGGTTCGATGATTTTTGGCAGAGTTATGCTCCTTTCACTTTGGAAATAATATGAAATTTTCAGTTTCCGTTCATTATCTCCCCAATGGTACAACACATTCAACTCAAACTTGACATATGGATACGTCACAGGAATGCGCAGGTCAAGTTCAAAGTTGGTTATGGTTCAATGATTTTTGGCAGAGTTATGCCCCTTTCACTTTGAAAATAATATGAAATTTTCAGTTTCTGTTTATTATCTCCCCAATGGTACAACACATTCAACTCAAATTTGACATATGGATATATTTTTGGAATGCCCAGGCCAAGTTGGAATTCGGTCATGGTTCAATGATTTTTGGCAGAGTTATGCCCCTTTCACTTTGAAAATAATATGAAATTTACAGTTTCTGTTCATTATCTACCCAACTACTCAAATTTGACATATGGATATGTCAAAGGAATGGGCAGGTCAAGTTTGAATTTGGTCATGGTTCGATGACTTTTTGGCAGAGTTATGCCCCTTTTACTTTGAAAATAATATAGATACATCTTAGGAATAAGCAGTTTAAGTTTGAATTTGGTCGTGGTTCAATGATTTTGGACAAACTTATCTTTCTTGAATGTTGTAAAAATTTTGAACTTTCAGTTTCAGCACTGAAATGTATGTAGCCAATGCCCATTATTTTGGCTACAAATATGAAATATGCTATTTTCAAAAGGTTTAGACTGAATAATTTCAGTGCCTTGAACATTGTATGAAAATGGTTAAAAATTATTTGTGCAAACAAATTTGGAACTAAATATTATAACATCTGAAATTTTGGCTGCATGCGGGGGCATCCGTGGCATGATGACACATTTCTAGTTCCACTTCAAAGGTCGAGGTCATTGTATTTAGGTCAAGGTCAGAAACATACATTTAATTTTGATAACAAAATTGATTGACCAGGATTTATTTGATTATGAATTTTATTCCAGCCTGTCTTGGAAATGTAAGAAAAAAGGCTTTTTATTTGGTGCTTAGGGTAGGAATTTGAATTTTCTTCTTTATCATCAGAACGTTGGTGGTTCTACTCAGGTGCCTGTTCGTGCCTTAAATAACGCATGGAAGGGCACCTGAGGTCTTCCTCCACCAGTAAAGCTGGAACGTCACCATATGACCAACTTTGTGTTGGTGTGACTTAAATATCAATCAAAGAAATTAAACAAAATCTTCTTTATTACAATTGTTTAAAACTTGGAGGTATAATCTGTAGGTAGTGATAAAAGGTTACATGTAATTCTTATGTTTTGTGATAGTGGCAATCTGTTCTTTTCTGTTTCAGAGGTTTAATGTTACAGTAACACGTGCAAAAGCATTGTTGATAGTGATTGGTAACCCCAACACACTTAGTGGGGATCTTCACTGGAAACAGTAAGTTTATAAATTACCAGGTGGTTTTTTTACCAGTAAAACGTGGTTACTAGAGGCATTAAAATGTTAATTAGGCTAGTATTGGCCTAAGAATATGAATAAATACATAATGGGCGTCTTTGGCCGAGCTGTTACAAATGATGAGTGAAAACAACTTGCCGCTGTGGTTTCAAATCAAGCCTGGAACTATAGATTCTTTTATTCTAGGGGAACTATCCATCAAGCTTAAGTAATGTTGGTACTGATTCCACTTAGGTGCCTGCTCATAACTGTGTAGGCAAAAGGTCATACAGGGATATAACTTTGGTCTGTATTTTTTTCAAAGTTTAAGGGAATGGGGGTATAGATTTATTTTATTGTTGTATTCTTAAAAAAGTTTTAGGATGGCATCTTTTTGCAGAAGGTATTGGGCATTAAAGCGTATAGATTTGTTCTGTTTTTAAATGTTAATATATTGCTTTTAATATACTGCTGTGAAGGAAGAAAATTGGGCATACATGGGTACAGTTTTTTGTATGATTAAAGGTTGATAGATAAATGTGAAGAAAATTGGGCATGCAGGGGTACAGTTTTTTGTATGATTAAAGGTTGATAGATTACTGTGAAGAAAATGGGGCATACAAGGGTACAGAGAGAATGTCTGAAGATGATGAATTAGAAGATCTCATTCAAAGATTGGCAGCTGTCGAACTAATTGATGGTTTGTATTAACTAATTCTCCTACATTCACTTGTGGTGTTTTTGTCTCAAATTATTCTTAATTTATGATATCTAATTCATTGAACAAGAAGTTATAATGCTCAGTTGATTTGAAAAAAAAAAAATTCTTTAAAACTGATCACCTGTAATAGAACTAGCACTTGTCTATGCCACCATAATAGAACCAGACCTGCCTGAAAACTTGTATAGTCTGACCAAACTATATAATGTGCATATTGTATAATGTATCATATTGACATCACTCAAGTTCAATACTATTGCCAAACAATATTTTTCTATGACAATTTAATTCGGACATTGAATTTGATGGTCATTTTGTCTCTCATTACTGATCCAGAATAATGTGTAATTACTGATCCAAAAATATGTGGAATTACTGATGCTAAATTATGTGAAATTACTGATCCAAAATTATGTGGAATTACTGATCCAAAAATATGTCGAATTACTGATGCTAAATTATGTGAAATTACTGATCCAAAATTATGTCGAATATGTAGTCTGTCACTTGCAGAGAAATTAGTAACTACTGGTTTGTTATCCCGGAAAACTTGTAAGGTGAACCAATGGCAAACATATGACCAAAACTTGTGTTAAAATTTGTGTAAAACCAGAACTAATGAACAAGCACTCAAATAAGTAATTAATTGTTCCCATAAAGGACAAGTCCACTTCACAGATTTCAGAGGGTAAATAAGTAAATATTAATCTTGTTATCATTGATTTTATTCATGTGTATAGCAAAAACTTAAAAAATCTTCTTTTAAAGAACCCAAAGAGCTAGAGCTAAGATATTTAGCATGAAACATCTTCTAATGAATGTCTACCAAGTTTGTTCAAATAAAAGCCCTGGGGTCAAAATTGGCCCCACCCCAGGGGGTCATTGATTTTTTTCTATATGCATATTGTAAAAACCTAAAAAATCTTCTTTTAAAGAACCCAAAAAGCTAGAGCTAAGATATTTAGCATGAAACATCTTCTAATGGGTGTCTACCAAATTTGTTCAAATAAGAGCCCTGGGGTCAAAATTGGCCCCGCCCCGGGGGTCATTAATTTTCCTTATATGTGTATAGCAAAAACTTAAAAAATCTTCTTTGAAAAAACCAAAATAGCTAGAGTTTATATACTAAGCATAAAACATCTTCTAATGGGTGTCTACCAAGTTTGTTCAAATAAAAGCCCAGGGGTCAAAACTGGCCCCGCTCTGGGGGCCTACATACAGGTGAGCGACTTCGGGGCCATCATGGCCCTCTTGTTTTGTACATTTGTTGTTTTGAAATGTTCAATAAAACAATAGTGTTGAACCATTGCATTTCTTAACTTATGTACATGTAATCAGTAATCATAAATGTAAATTGATTACTCCTGTCAGTAATCAGTAATTTAATCAATTACAATGTCAAAATGGAGTAATCAGTAATTTAATTTAATCAAGCATTTTGACAAATAATCATAATTTAATCGATTACAATTGTCAAGTAATTGCCCCATGTCTGTAGAGTTGTTCTTGTTTCAGATGAATGCAGACTCATTCCAGAAATACAGAGTGACTATAATGAACTAGCCTGGAGAAGTGATATATAGGAAAAGGACAAGTCTTGGGAACTGGCATTTAAATTATGAAAATTATCTGCAGAAGTGAAATTTCAGGAAATAAAGAAGCCTCAAAAAGGGATATTTAGTTTCAAGTCTTATATAAGTCTAGAGATGAGATATTCCATTTTAGAATAGAACAAGTGTGAACTTCAAAAGAGATATTTAGTTACTAAGTACTTGCAGTGTTGTGCAATGTCCTGGGGAGGTGATATGTTGTATACAAAAATAAATCAGGAAGGCAAACAAGCCTTGAAAAGTGACAAATTGTTTTAGAATGTTGAAAAAGTCTAGAGACAATATAATTTGTGTTAGCATTTGAAGTTGATGCAAAAATGACAATGATTTTGTACTGGTACAACTTTTGAGATGATAAATTAGATCTCTAAATTTTAACTGAAATGTTAGGACTTTAAATTTTTACTTTTGAATTTGTACTGAAATGTTAGAACTTTAAATTTTTACTGAAATGTTAGAACTTTAAATTTTTACTGAAATGTTAGAACTTTAAATTTTTTTTCTGAAATGTTAGAACTTTAAATATTTACTGAAATGTTAGAAATTTAAATTTTTACTGAAATGTTAGGACTTTAATTATTTACTGAAATGTTTGCTTAATTTTATGGAATTTTCATAAGTATTACAAAATTTGCAAAGGCATGTGCCAAAGCATGTTAGATTTAATATTTTTGTAATGATTTATTTTTATAAAATAAATTCTTAATGATACTGTTACCATTTTAATTTTTGTCATAAGTTGTTTGAACATTATTTTTAAATGAAATTTTTACAATTATCTATTTTACTGATCATATTTAAATTTATTTTTCTATAGAAAATAGCAACTCTTTGCCTTGAATATTATGTTTTTAATATGACTGTTTGAAATATTGGCTAACTTTGGTATCATACTAAATTATACCTCCCGCACAACTGAAGTTGTAAAGAGGGGATATACTGGTTTGAGGATGTCCGCCAGTCTGATTGTCTGGATGTATGTGTTTGCTTCTTCTCTTATCCCATTCTTGATTTTTATGAAACTTGACAGGAATAATTTTCATGATGTCTACTTGTCTAATGATAAGGAATTTGACCTTGACCCTAAATTATCTTAAGCTTCAAGGTTAATTGCTTAAGTTTTGCTGAAATTGTCTAACATGGTTGTAAATGGATGTATTGTGTTCATCTTTGGACATAACAACCATTTAAACAATAGTCAAATTATTGAATTTTATTTTGTTATTTATGGATGGATTTGAGTCACATTTGAACAAAGCAATACTTAGCATAAAGCAAACAAATAATGACCTTGACCTTTTAATGACCTTGATCTATTAAGGTCAAATTGTTGAATATTTTTAAAATTGGACATGATTTTGCTGTTAATGGATGGAATTTTCCCTGTTGTCACAATTAATAAACCCCAGAAAAAATGTAGCCAATAAACTGTTAGAAATTGACACACAGTGCAGTAACTGGAGTGCAATTAATACTTGTACCTGGTTGCACTCACTGTACATTTATGGGGATACAATTGACACATTTTTGTGTCGCCTCTACGGAGTAGTGGCGACATATAGGAATCACTTCTTCGTTGTCCGTCTGTCTGTCCGTCCGTCACAAAACTTGTCCGGACTACTCCTCATAAACTACTGGTGCAATTTCATCCAAACTTTACAGGAATGATCAGTACCAAGTCTAGTTGTGCATATTGTCAGCATTTTCCGGTTCAATGATTTTTGTCAGAGTTATGGCCCTTTGATAATTTTTAATTTTAAAGTTTGTCCGGACTACTTCTTTTATACCACTAATGCAATTTCAATGAAACTTTACAGGATTGATCTGTAGCTCAAGTCCTTGCGCATATTGCACGGGTTTTCCGGTTGAATGATTTTTGGCCGAGTTATGGCCCTTTGATAAAAAGGTGTGTTTTTTTCTGTGTGTTGCCAGATACACAAAAGCTTGTCCGGACTACTCCTCATAAACTACTGGTGCAATTTTATCCAAACTTTACAGGAATGATTAATATCAAGTCTAGTTGTGCACTGTCCGTCTGTCTGTCCGTCCGTCTGTCACAAAATTTGTCCCAACATGAAATTGGCCATCATGAGGCGTCACATGTGATTACTGATCGCTCTTGTTAATGTAAAGGTCTCCAAACTATGATACAATATTTGATTACAGTATTCAGTATTAAAGTCTTGCAAGTTTACTGGGAAAAGAAGACCTGTTTTATCTTTAAACATTATGTTGGGTATGAATTACTTGAGTAGAACAAAGCTGTGTTTACCCACTCACAGTGACTTTAGGGCTCTGTCAATAAATACATGTAAATATATATATTTTTTTTAAAGCTCTCTAACTGCTTTGCATGATATTTCTGAATTCTTAAAGCTGCATGCCTGTAGGTGAGCCATGTTTCAATAAAAACTACTTTGACCAAAATTTACTTTGAAGTTTTTAAAAAAGTAAAATTATTCACAATTAAAGTAATGATGAACATGTTATATGTAATGAATTTCTAATTTTCTAGTATTTATTACATATTTCTACTGCGTGACTAACGCAGTGAGGGGTAGTTTTGCATACTTTGATCCTTATTTAGTAATTTACATGAATTGTGATACTTTCTTTGTTCACTTGAAAATATTTTACTTTTTTATTACACTTTCAAAAAATTTTCATGAAAATTAGCATGAATCTTGAGGCATGCTGCTTTAAGGAATGTTTCAGAAATAGATACAGTACATGTAGTTCTTGGCACTATTTGGAGTTACTTCGCTTGAATGCCACATTCTTTGATCCACCTTTGCAATATTTGTTGAATATTTTTTTAATATTTGTTGAATATGAAAAAATATTTTTGAAAAAAAAAAATGTTAAATTTGTTACATGTTTATCATGCAAAATTTGAGACCCCATCAGTCATGTATGAATATGTTGTTAAATTTCGTCTATTTTAATGGAAAATTTTTATTGCATTTTACATATTTTGTTATACATGTGCATATAAATATACATGTATATGTGTTATTGATTGTGTTAATGTTAATAAAATATCATTCTTATTTTAGCACATTTTAAATTTTTGTCATTATTTTGATTTACTATTCAGTAAACATGGTACACTTTTAAGCTGTTACTGCATTTACCAGAAGAAAAATATTAGTATTTACAACATTGCTTGTTATCGATACCAAAAGAAAAATAAAAGAAAAAAATTAATGTGAATTATTCAATCTACTCAACGCCTGACTATAAATGAATCATTCAATCTACACAACGCCTGATTTATCAGTCTTAATTCAGTATATGCTTTGACAAGTTAGAACACAATGTCCAGCATTTTAGATACAGTTTTGTATCCCATATGGGTGTCCGTGGCCGAGTGGTTAAGGTTCAAACCACTTGCACTTAACCGTTTTGGGTTTGAATCCTGACAGGGACTTTGGATAATATTTTTTTGTAAGGAAGTTATCCAGCTAGCTTATTAGCTTATGGAACGTTAGAGGTTCTACTCGGGTGCCGGTTTGTGCCAAAAATAATGCACGGAAGGGTGCCACCAATAAATCTGGAAAAACTCCAAATCATGAAATGACCTATACTGTGTTGGTAATTAGTTCCATCTTCCGACGCCTGAGTTCTTTCTTTTTTCATGGACTATTGTGCAAGAAAAATCGTTTTTTTCAAATGTATTGTTATTTTTAAATGCATCACATATTAAAGGTGCTCCACTGATATACAATGCATAAAACCCCATAAAATATCAAATTCTTACAAAGATAAATTGGTGCGCTTGAAATTGAAAAATATGCAAAAGATAAAGAAAAGGTACATTTTATATTTAGATCGATTTTTGCACGATTCTCATCCTTAATTGAGTTAAGTTTAAAATAGTTTAAACAATTTTGGGCCATCCTGTAAATTGGGGAAAAACAGTGTTTGTAGTCGTAATGAACTGAAATTTCACACATGGGACATTAGTCTAGACCTCCATCAAATAGTACACTATTCTCGAAAAAAATATTTTCAAGTCCCTTTATGTCCATAAAAACAAAACAAAATAAAACCCCAACCTCAGTGTAGTCCCTTTAACAAATGAAATGAAAATACACTGCATTTTATCTTGATTTTAATTTATTATCTATTTTTGATACGCCTTAGATCATGTAGATAAATAGCTTGGCTTTTTTATCGAAGTCATGTGATATTTTAAAAAGATAGAAATTTAAATGATATCATTTCAATTTATAGCATATGAAAACGAAACTACAGGTAAAAAAACGAGTTAACATGTAATGGATATATTTAATAGGATCGACAGCAGTATTGTAAGTAAGAAAAAGTAAATTTATTCAACTATTTATACACTTCAAATAAGATCTTAGCCTGGGTTCCAGTCTGTCGATTTTTTTATAGTTCTCTTTTGTTTGGCAAATCGACAATACAATCAAAACGACGAACGAATACCGAATAGCGCATATGTTATGAATAAAGAAAAAAAAATGTTATAAATAAATAAAAACTATCAACGCCTGAATACCAAGGCTAATAAGATCTATCATTTTGGTGAAATTTCAAGAAAGAAAAAAAAGATTAGTAGTCCAAGGGTCGTTGGTTTGATTCTCGGGCGAGGCGACATTTGATCTCGGACATTGATTCTAATGGAAGTTTGTCTCTCGCCACTTGCTTAAAAGAACGTGGAAGTAGTAGTCGGTCACTCTTGGAGAAATCGGTAATTACTAGTTCGTTATCCAGGAAAGCCGGGTTGGTTGACCAACGTTTTAAAATCTGCGCAAAAACTAAGAAAACAAACAAAAGATTGTTTAAAAAGAGAGAACTGATGATTTTCTTGGATAAGGGGCCAGTTAAGTGCCAAATTGCGTGATGCGATGCGTGTTTTTTCTTTTCTTTCTTTTTGTTTTTTACTCATTTTTTGCCAAAATATTGGTCCGGCCAAGGCCGGACCGGCCGGACCATCGACGACGGCCTTGATTACGGTGTCTGACTTAAGCCATGTTAATTTTTCTTAGTTTGACTGTCGTATTTTCGTGACTTAAAGCTAAAAAACGACACGGCGTTACTCTACATACATGTATATACTGCACTAAAACTGAACTTCCAAAAAATTTAATCGCGACATTCCTTGAATTTTTAAAACAATGTTTTGTTTTGCGTGTGAATCATTTGTAAATATCCCGCCCTATCATATTTTTTAAAACTCTTTACAATTTGAAATTTTATGTAATTTATAACTTTGTTTTGGCATAGCGCCAATAATTATTGAAATATAAAGTAAAGTTGTTCTTCCGGAAGTTATAAACTTTTATTCACAATCTTTTTAACATTTTTCCATATAAATTAAATAAAGTACTGCCCCTGAATCATAGAGCTGTATCCCGATCCGGCGATATCCTTATTACAGAACTAGTGAATGAATGTTTAATAGGAAGTTTCTAGATCCCAATAGAATATTAACAACACCATCAAAAAGATAGATAAGTAAATGGATAAAAAAGTGAATAAAATAAATTAATAAATTAAATCAAATAATGACATTTTTTGTGTTTTCAGGTCAGGTTTTTCATATTCTGCTATAACAGCAACTAATAAAAATCCAAACTGATTACACGCTAACAGCAGATTAACTCGTGGTGAGTATATAAGAGTTTCTTTAACAGTGTTTCATAGAAAGTCCTAAGTGTATCCTAAGTCCTTTGATATAAAACCAACTTTAGGACTAACTAAAGACCGTTTAAATAAAGCATTGCTATTCAGAAATTAAGAGTCATAACATAAGGGTCATAAGTTAGGGCATTTTCTTTGAAACAAAAATTGTCTCAGTTTTGGTCTTTAAGGGTGATTCCAGACTAAGGACTTTCTATGGCACGCAACCCTGTACTGTTTTTTACATGTTTTCTATTTATAAATAAGTATCACGAAGCTAATAATATGATAAATGTCAAGAGGGTCACAGACGGTGGTTCTACCAAAGTACAATATTGCACTTGAACTGCTGCACGAAGACAAACATAAAATATTCCCGGAAGTTACCCAATTGAAGCTACTTGACGAATACAAATAAACAAATTATATCAAAACATTAACTTATTTCGATTAAAGTGTCTTTTCTAAAAAATCAATTATATATTTATGAAAATATTTGTAAATATTTAATGGCACATAAAGTCTAAAAAATGATTTTTTTTCTTTCTAAATAAAGGGCAAACATGTGTTTGTTTGGGTTTTTTTCTTGTTTTTATTTCTGTTGACAAACACAAACAAAGCAAAAGTGGATCAGGTATAGTTAACAAATGAGTAATAGGTGGGTAAAAGTAAAACTATTCTTTGGCTTTCAATGAAATCATAAGAATAATCACATATGATATATACATGTAACTTGAAATGTTGAAGACGATTTACGTTTTAATAGGATAAAACAGTTCCCAAAAGAGAAAGATGGATAAAAAGGTTCAAAAGCCATTCATGTATCTTAGGAACGGAGAACTGTTGTATGATTCGGAGGGTAAAGAAGCCATGGCAGAAAAACAGGCTGCGGATATTATTGATATCATTAAAAAGATAAATCCCAACTTAGGTGATGCAAATGACGAAGATGTCACAAAAGATGAAATTGAAGACACAGATAACGACAGTAGCCAGGAAATCGATTGGGGAGCTAAGATAATTGATGTTTTTAAAAACGGCTGTCTAAAGTGGAAACCTTCATTAGAAAAAGATCATAAAAGCTTACTAACAACAAAGGCACACACAAATTTCACTCGAAAAACCTATAGCGAAGATAACAAAATAAAAGAAACAAAAGTAATGTACGAAGAAGCAGATGCAAATTTCAACGCAAGCTCTAGCGGTCATTTGAAAATATCTATGGGAGAGAAGAACTCTGTAAAAGCAGAATATGACGCAAAAGTAAACGGATGTGGCGAAGCTTCTTGCAAAGGGTTATTTGATAAACGCTTTAATGATAAAGAAAATGAAAGGGAGTTATTAATTGCCAAGTGTGAAGCAAAAGGGAAACTAGAGGGAGAATTTAAAGGCTCTGCAAGTTTCAATGCTAAGGAAAATGAAGGAAAGGCTGATATGAATGTGAAATTTGGGGTACATGGTCAAACATCTTTTACTGGTGTTGATATTAAATTACAAAACTCAAACAAAGAAGGAAGAGTTAAAGTTTTACACGGCAATGCCAAAGGAAATGCAGAAATTAAAGCAGCTGGTACATTTGGAAAGCACAAAGTCAACCTTGAAGCTAAAGCTAAAGGAGGAGCAAAATTTAAAGCTATGGATGGAGAATTTGACTTTTCTGCAAAGAAAAGGAATGATGGTATTTACATTCCCGGATTTAAGGGAATAGTTGGTAAGGCGAAAGCCAAGGGTGAAGCAGAATTTTGTTTGAATACAGAGATTTGTGGAAAAAAAATTGATAAGAAGGGAAATGTGTCTGGCGAAGCGGAAGCGTCTGCATTAACACTGAATGCGCTTGAAGTTGATATCAGGAAAGAAAAAGATGACGGAACTGTTCGTAAAGCAAAGGCATCTGTAAAAGGAATGGAGGGTAATTTTTGTAACGTTGAAGCAACCGGGAAAAGGAGTGGCGACATAACTGAAGCTTCGGCTAATTTAACAGGGGCTAAGGTCAATATTGGTAATGTGAATGCAACTGGAATTGATAATAGAACAATACATTCTGCAAACGCTACATCAGGATTATCAGCAGATATTGGAAATGTTAAAGCCTCATGTTTAGGCCATAAAGGTACAACAGCTGGGATTGATGCAAGTTTAGGTATGCAAATGTTCAACGTGTCTGCTGGAATTGCTCGCGACACAGGGGTTTCTGCAAGCTCTAAATTTTCAATGTTTAATGTGAATCTTACAATTGGGACACCATCGTTAAATATAAGCATGCCCGGTCTCGGCCCAAACATTAGTATTCCTTTCGTAAGTGCAGGTGGTGGAGGAGGACAAACGGCAGACCAATCAAATGATTCAAATGGTAAGGGTAAAAATGAAACCGGGTCATTTACTGGACAAGAAAAAGAGAATGGTTCAAATAACGAAGGGAGCTTAAATACGAATCGTTCAAATAAGGAAGGGAGCTTGAATACAGATGGAAATATCGGAACAAAATCTAGCGACGGGGAACCCTCCCAATGTGGATCGATTGCACAAAATAACACAGATAGCTGTACAAATAGTAGATTTGGTAGTAAGTCATATATTGGAAATGAAAGTAATACTAGTTTAAATTATGAAGAACAAAGTCTAACAAGTTTAAATGATTGCATTGGAACATATGATGGAGATGGAGGTCCTGTGGAGAATGGAGTAATTGCCGATGACAACACAGGCCGCTATACAAAAGATGGTCTTGGTAGCGGAACATGTATTGGAAATATTAGAGAAGGATGTTCAAATAGTGAAGATACAAACCTCAGCAGTTTAGATTTGAATGATAATATTGAATCTTGCGATGATGACGTGGGAATATCGGAGACTAGATCAATTGCCGGAGACAACATGGGCAGCTGTACAAATTTCGGATATGGCAGTGGGTCACGTATTGGAAATGAAAGAGAGGGGTGTTCAATTAGCGAAGACACAAAAAATAAAAGCTTTGATTTGAATGATTGTATTGAAACATGTGATGAAGATGTATGTTTCTTGGAGCGTAGATCAGTTGCTAAAGACAACATAGGCAGCTGTACAAATACTGGACTTGGCAGTGGGTCACCTATTGGAAATGAAAGAGAGGATTGTTCAATTAGCGGAGGAACAAACCTCAACTGTATACATTTGAATGATTATATTGAATCATGTGATGGTGACGTGGAATTTTCGGAGAGTAGATCAATTGCCGGAAACAACATGGACTGCTGTACAAATTTCGGATTTGGCAGTGGGTCACGTATTGGAAATGAAAGAGAGGGATGTTCAATTAGCGAAGGAACAAAAGACTGAAGCTTAGATTTGAATGACTGTATTGAAACATGTGATGAAGATGTAGGGTTTTTGGAGCGTAGACCAGTTACCAGAGACAACATGGGCAGTTGTACAAATACTGGATTTGGCAGTGGGTCACGTACTGGAAATGAAAGAGAGGGATGTTCAACTGGCAAAGGAACAAAAAACAGAAGGTTAGATTTGAATGATTGTATTGAAACATGTGATGGAGACTTGGGGTCTTTTGAGCGCAGATCAATCGCAGGCAGCTATACAAATAACGGATTTGGTAGTGGGTCATGTATTGGAAATGAGGGATCTTCTATTAGCAAAGAACAAACGAAGAGTAGATCAACAGCTATGGTTAATACATTGAGCTACTCAAGCGGCATATTTGAAAAGTCAAGTTGCTCAAAGTACGGGGAAATAAACGGGAACAGTAAAGATAGCAAGATAAGTACTTTCAAAAATGAAAGTGAAAGCGAATATGAACATGGGCCCCTGAATCAATTGACAGGCGGAGCATACATGGATGAACACTTAAATACAAAGAATTTTGAAAGTCAAGTATTTGAAAGAGTTAGGAAACATACCATTGGAAGACCAAACAAAAATCCGAGTAAAATGACTTTTGGTGACACGGTATCTGCAGAAATTGAAGAAGCCGAAAAAGAAGATCAACACTGTCTCAAAAGTTTTGAAACAGCGCTTTGCCCAAAACATCGAAGAAATATCACCAATGAAATGCATGGAGACGAGCAAACAGCTGAGCAAGCGGATACTAAAACATGTTTCAAGGGGACAGACAGACAAGCTGAAGATTTGAAAACTCAAATAAATTCCGATGATATTTTAGACATTCAAACGGGTAATGAACAGGAACATGAATTATATACACAGTTGCCAAAGCGAAAACATGGAAAATCTCCAAGACACTTCGGAATGCACCACAGAACGTCTGGACTAAGTTCTACAGACACATCACAAGAGAAAGACGTTCAAACCGAGCTATTACGTACGTCAGGGAAATATTCATCTGCATCTAATAAAATGATTTCTACTGATTTAAAAAATGATGAGTATTATAACAAATATCTGGCGAGTCTGGTAAATGACCGATTTGATAAATCAAAAGGAAAATATAAGAACACAGAGTCTGAAAAAACAGCGAAAAGTGAATCTTTATTTACTATCTGGAGTGATCAAGAAAAACTTAAACAGGCATTGGTTGAAAAATATTCCAAGGGTCCAAATGCAAGAGATGTCACAGCAAAAAGAAACAACGTGGGAAATACTAAAGAACGTGATATTGAAGGTAATGCCGCGCAAGGTCAATCAACAGAGTCTGATGACAGAACACCAAAAGCAAAGAAAAAGGAGGAACCCAAAAAGCCTTTTGGAGCAAATAAAAATATTCATACGATATTTACCCTAGCTGGTGCAGAATCTAAACCCGTGAAGTATTTGAAAGACAATTTTGCATGTTTTACTGACGAATAATTGTTTGAAACCATATCTATGGAATTGAGTTTGTTTGGTATGTAGAGGAACACATTTATACATTTGTTTTAGATTTTTGGTTGGATTTTACGTCGCACCAACACTGTAAATGCCATGTGAATACTTTCCAGCTTTACTGGTGGACGAAGACCTCGCGTGCCTCTCTGTTCAATATAAAAAAAGTGCTCATTTCCATTTATGTGTCTTATTCTAGTTAAAGAATACATTTAAAATTTGTTAAAGGCAATTAAAAAATCAACCTAACACTTCTAATGCTAGTGTTTTTGGCGAACTATGTAGACATCCCTTATATATAAATAGATTTGTAAGAATAATGAAGTACAGGTTAAAAATTACAGATACTGATAGCGTAATCCTAAAGACAGTACTAGTATTTAATCAAGCTTTAGAAGATAGCAACAATGGGTTTTATATGTAAAAAAAGCTTGAATGATTATGGATTTTTGAATGTATTTGATAATATGTTAATGCAATTGATAAAAGTTATTTTTATATGAATTCAGGTGTTGTGTTATTGACTCTTATTGACTTATTGATTTTAAAATCAGTATTGTCTGCTACTTTAGAATATAGAGTAAATGTAAATTATGTAAACGTTAAAAAAAGTTTTTACAAGATTATGAACATTATTTGGATATCCTGTCAAGATGTAGATTTATAATTTTTATGGAGATTGACTTTAAGAAGCACATAGTGCTTCTATCAAATTCCATTGCATGTATTATAATAGAATGGTTTTTAAAATTTGTGTATATTGTAGTCTAATTATATGTAATATATGCAATAGATAATTATGTTTAATTAGTTCAAGATGTAGATTTAAAACGAGTAGTTTGGATGTCTATACGTAGAACTGTTGATGGAGAAAGGTATTGTTTTTGCTGTTTTACTTAAGACATTGAAGATGAATTTCATTCTATTTGTATATATGCTGCTGTTATGCAGAACTTTGGAAAATATTTGAAAATTAAATGTCAGAAACCTGTCGGTTTATATTTTACAGCTGTGGTCGCAAATAGAAATTATGAAATAATTCAGTTACCAATTTTGTTAAAGAATTTCTTGCTTTGAGAATGGTAAACGTTAAATATTGTAATTGCTTATTCTGCTTATCTAATGTCTGCACTTATTTTTAATATTTCGTATAATGTACATGTGTTAACTTCTTGATACTAGATGAAAATTTATACACGTACTATGAATTGTATGTCTATTATGATGTAAATTTATACAATGAATTGTATATAAATTCTGACATTGTAATCAAAAATAAAAAATTGTGAAAAAAAAAAGATTGCTATTCGACTAGCTACATTGACGTAATGTTTGTAAAAGTTTATTATTTTGCTTTGAAAAGATGATGTAGAACGAACAAATCTAAATAAATTTTTTGTTCAAATCTGTTGAGAAGACAGTGACATAACGTTACAAGTATTTTACGGCTGCACACCTTGAGATCCGCCATCTATTTTTTTATATTGGAAACATATACTACCATACAGAGTCAACATCATTTTTTTCCGAGATTAAGATACATGTAATATTTTATGAAGATCTGGATCAACGACTCTTGTGCAAATTTTTAGATAATTTCCTCACTCCGTTTTCCCAGAACAATCATTTTTATTTTGCAAAAAGACCCCCCCCCCCCAAAAAAAAAGAGAAAAGATTGCGTTGCAACACTTTTCGCTTAAAGAGAGAGAGAGAGAGAGATAGAGATTTCAAATTCATTCTTTAGTATATTCCTCTTAACATCTTTTGTACATTTTACCATTTTAATCAATATTTATGTTATCAGGCTGTTTGACCTCAATGGAGCTCTTTCACGAAAAAAGAAAAATATATATTGACAAATGTCAGAAACCCGCCACCTTATACATTTCAACTTTTTAACGTTAACACAAATAGTAATTATGAATAGTACTTATGAAATAATTCAGTTATCTAAATTTGTTATAGAAGCCCTTACTTTGAAAATGTTAAACGTTAAATATTATACTTGCTTATTCTTCTTTTCGCATGTACGTAATTTTTATATATAATTTTTTTTTCGTATCATATACATGCATTAATGAACTTCTTATTACTAGATGTAAATTAATATTATGAATTGATTAAAAATTTAAATTATGAATGGTTAGAAAATATTATGATTGAAATTTAATTATAGTGTCGTAATGTTTGTAAATGATATTGTATTATATAAATGATGTAACATGAAACTATCTCTATAAAGTTTCTGTTCACTTCTGTTCCTTTCTGTTTCATTGAAGGCAGTGAGTCTTTGACTACAGCTGCAAATCTTGAGATCCATGTTGGAAACAAACCAGGCAATTATCCCTTCTATTCCAGTTATTCAGATGTTAACATCTCATTATCATATCAAAAGAAAGTGATATAATACTTTTTCCTAAAATGAACAACATTTAGAAATGTAGACATGTAGTAAAAAATGTTGTCATAATTTGAAAATCCAGAATGGAAATTCTACTATTTGACAAAAGTTAAAATCTGTTTTTGACTTTTTGAGCATTTCCGTTTTCTCATAATATTTTCACACATAATGCATTCTACTTGTTACTTGTTGACATAGTTATCAGTGTATCTTCCACAATCTTCAAGGTCCTTAAGATGCTCACAACTCCGAGAAGTATAGGTTATAGTTCATATATTAGAATAATATACAAATTAAGTGTAAGGGAGCGTTGCTATACAATCTAGTGCCACTGTCTTTATACATACGAGTCATTTCTTTAACATTTGTAAACTTTCAAACCATTGCGATATCTGGCGTCAAGACTCGCACTGCTGATATAAAGACACCGGTTGCTTGAATTCAAGCACATTGCATGAGGAAATACTAGTCCATTTCCTGGTCCTAGGATCACCATGGCTTCGCTGAGGTCTAACTTCAACATGTAAATTATATCCTGCTCTGTACTACAGACATAAACTGATCCAAACATGGATATACTAATTCCTGAAGGAACTCTACGGTGACCTCGATAGAAGGCTAACATGTTTCCATTCATGTCCAGGGACATAACTTTGTTAGTTTTCCAGTCAGACACGTAGATCACTTTCTCGTCAGGAGTCACAGCGATGTTGCTAGGCAGAGTACAATGCTCTAGTACACTAGCATCAGGTTTGATCGTCTTGACTACTTTCCCGGTCGCCTGGAGGATCTGAAACTTTACAGGTTTCCAAAATGACGCATATAGATGTTTGTTCATCATATTGATGTCCACACAATTACCACTTGTTTTTATTGTACGGTTTACGGTCATTTTCCCGCGTATATTAACTATCTGTATCTGGTAACGGTTTTCGAACACAACAGCTATCTCGGTATATGATACCGCTGTTATACCACCTGGCAAATATTGTAAGGCTATAACATCTTTAATTATGTTTATTTCAGTATCAACTAGTTTCAAGCATCGATTGTTATAATCACAAAGAAGTAGTTCGTTGTTGGAAACTAACGTCATTTTTGTAATGTAACAATCTTTTTCATCGGAATCTGCCTGTACGTTGATATTCCCGGTATAAATATACCCTTGGTTCCTCTGAATACCACATGCCGTTCCTTTATTGTTATTTATTTTAGGAATGGAAGTTGCTACAACATCATGTATCTCGTCATGTTGTATTAGCACGTGATGCCTCATGAGCCTATTCTCTGAATGACTCTTCAAACAATTAGTGCAAAGATAGTCGCAGCCATCGTCGCAGTATACAACTGCGTGTGATTTTTCTCCCGATCTCATACATGGATTACAGAATGGTGAAAGTTTTTCCAGGATGCCGTCTTTGCCCAATAAAGTGTGATGCTTTGATACCTTGTTTCTTGAATGACTTCGAAAGCACGTGATGCAAAGGTTTTCCTCGCAATTAGTGCAGAATCCCTCAGCCTCGACATGATCTCTGACGGCTTTGCAAGGATCACAGTAAAAATCGTAATATTGCTCAGAGCTCTTGGAAACTGATGCCAGTTTTGAACACTGAATTTGCATAGAGCCTTCATCAGAACTTACATTTATTGGCGAAACACCCGATTTTTTGTTCTTAACTGTACTGTTATCAGAGCCTACATGAAATAATAATGTTCCAGATGTTTTGCTTTTAACTGAGGCGTCATCAGAACTTATATTAAATGGTAACACTCCTGATGTTTTACTTTTTACAGTGCTGTTGTCGGAACTTAAATATACAGACACTGGTCCAGATTTTTTGTTTTCTACTGCCCTGTAATCAGTACCCGCATGAAATGGCAATCCTGCTGAAATTTTGCTTTTTATTGATCCGTCATCAGAGCTGAAATAAATTGGAATAAGTCTTGACTTCTTCGTGCTGTTAACTGTCCCATCATCAGAACTTAGATAAACTGATGTCGCTTCCGTTTTCTTCCCCCTTACTGTGGTGTCCGCCGCAGAGCGTACATATACTGTAGCATCGGATCTTATTAATTCGTTCTCTTGTGATGTCTGCTGTGCAATTTCCTCCTGTTCATTCTTTTTCTTGCTAATATTCTGACCCATTATAAAGCCAATATTGGTGTCTTATCACTTCATTTAAAAGAACTACGTCTTACTTCACTATATAATGAGTGAAATGTCTTGTGACATTAATCACATAGCAAATCTGGTTCAAAAGAAATTTGATATTTTTTTGGCTTGAGGCCACGGTCGCAAGCCATTTGTTTTGAAAAGTTGTTCCGGTTAGGTGGTTTCCTGCTTACATTTGTAAGTGCATGATTGAACGGGAAACCAGTCTATGTTTCCGCTGCAGTCGTTTCAATCGCAACTTTTCGGCCCTTTCCGTGACTCTTCGGATTATTGATAATAGCCGAGGCAGTTCCGATTGCAATCGTGACAATTCGGGCGATTCCGTCATACTGCGGAATCAGACGAAGTAAAATCTAAGCTTTTTAAGTTACTTTGGTAATCCCAGTTTGTTTATATAAATAGGATTCCTATTTTTACTTGATTTATCGGTTTAAAGCGTAAGTAGAAGGAAGAAATAAATTATAAACGAAATTGTTCCGTTTCAATTCTTTTTCAAGACGCAAAAGTTAGTTTCTTTTATAATTGGTTTTTGTCTTTATTAGTTTTATACAATTTTTACGACGCGGTCCGTTGCTACGAAAAATCGACCGGAATTAGAATTTTCTCGCGCATGCGCAATTTACGTAGGGCAAAAAACTGCATCGCCCTACATAGAAATATAGTAGAAGCTCATAGACAATTCCGAGTTAGTTATAGGTAAACGGTAGAAAATTATATAAAATAGCTTTTAACAAATATAGAAAAGATTACTTTATAGCTTTGTGGCGAAGAATGCTATAAAAGGGCATGGAAAAGATACTTGTTTAAGAATTTACGATCACGGACCTGACACTGAGATTATTTTTTTAAAAGAAGATGTGGAAAAATATATATAAGCAAATGGAAAGTCAACTTATTTGCTGTTGAAATAGTTCATATAAAAACAAAAGAAATTTTAAAACATGAAATCGAGATTAATTATCATTCTGAAAAAATATCAGAACAGGTGATAATGTATTTTTAGTGTTCAAAATACCTGATTATATCCTTATTTCGATTTGCCTGTGATGCAAACAGAAAAAATTAAGTCACATAAATAGATTTAAAATAATTAATTATATTTTTCAAAATCTTGAGAAGTTAACGTTTGGAAGAGATATAAGTTATAACACACATTTTATCCGCTTCTTCGTAATACATGTTATTTTTAATAATGCATGTCCCAATTTTTCTCTTCTCAAAATCCATAAACATTGATCGGTATATTTAAAAGTTACATAATTAACCATTTTAATAAGCGTAACTGATGTACATCATGGTATTAAACGTCCCGGTTGAATGAACAACCGTTCGCGTGCCAATCTGTTTGACACTTGCCGCCTGACCAATCCAGTTATTCAAAGGAAGTGTACAATACAAATTGTGTAATATTATGTAATACAGGGGTAATAAAATTTTATCTTTAACACCCTGCTGTTTCAATTTAAATTACTGATGGAAAAGTCGTCTAATGATACCTTAAACAAACGACATGTGTGTGCCCTTTTTGACCATTGAATTATTAGTCCCGCACATTTTCGTAGATCTGTTAAAAAATAAATTCACGTTTTCAGTACTTACCGCCTTAAGTCATCCCAAAATTAATATTTTTTGGGTGACATAACATGAAATCGCATCTATTAAAGCCTTAAAGTATGATAAACTGTAGACATCGTTATTGCGTTTTGCCCTACGCAGAATGCGCATGCGCGAAATGCAACATTCGTTGCTATGGAAAATCGTATTGTAAAAAGGTCTATAGAGAATGGTTACTGTAGTAGTATTCCGTCTCCAAAGGGCGGTCCTGCTTACCAAAAGATCGTGACCGAATCACACAGAATATTAGTGCATGATCGAGTTATATTTATATCTACTGAGTAGAGTTGAGGTAATCTAAAAATAGCCCATGCATATCAATAACCTTACCTCGTGCTGATCTACAGAACATCCTATGTTATTACCCCTCACTTTTTTCGTAATGCTAATTTCCCATAGGCCTCTGGGAGTTATTTTTACTGTTAATGCAAGTGTACCACGTGACTAAGAATTTTGTACT